TTGGGGCTGTTTCTCGAAAGAGGTTACTTTGCCGCCACCATATCCTCACGGATCCGCCTCTTCCCGTGTGTGATTTCCCGGAAGATCGGCATTTTCGTGGACTGTGAGCGTGGACAGGTGTCATTTTACAACGCGGACAACATGTCCCATCTACACACTTTCACTGAGAAGATTTTTGCTTTCTTATATTCAGGATTGAAAGTTGATCGTATAAACTCCGTGTCGCAGACGATCTGCAGGATTAAAGGGCACTGACAGACTCATCTCAGAATTTCACCCCATTTCGACTCGTTGCTACCAGCTGTAAATTGATGGGGGTCGGTTGCAGTCACATGCGGAGAGCGAAGCCAGGTTAATGCAGTCAACGTTACGATTTATGCCTGGTATATTGGTTTGTGTATCTCTGTCTACATCAGTGAAGCTGTCCTTAAATTACAGTGCTTTTCTCTGTTTCCTGAAAATTATTATTAAACCACAATGTATACGCAATTCTTTTTATTTATAGCTATTGTACAACAGTATAAGCTCTTAACGTATTGATGGTACTAAATGACTATTCATCAATTTTCAATATGATTCTTCAACAAAAATAGCATTTTAATTAAATCCAAGAATGGTAAACGCAACACATTTTTGTTTTATTTGATATTAAACCACCACCTCCTATTTGTATACCGTAAATTCCGAATTCATCTGATTGACTTTCGGAGCCTCCGGACAGATTAACTGGGGCGATGGCTGCGGGGAAAAATCCAAAAATTTCATACATCACTCCAAATCGTCTTGGGTCATTTTCTGAGACGGATATAGGGAACAACCGTTTGTTTCAGATGGGAAGCAACACAAGATCAGTTCAGTTCAGTTGTCGTTCCTTTTAAAACTAAACATTCTATTTTTTCTCGAAACTGTATTGATAATAGGGCAGCGAAGAGGGAATAAAACTTGGACATCTGTCCAATTGAATATTGTGACCTCAGTGATTCTTATGATGTTTCCTTTGTTCTTCGTACGCTGGAGAACTATTTATATTTGTAGATGACTAGTTACTGTTTTAACACTCGTGCTAGCAGAAAGTATTAAGTATGGAATACAAAAATAATTCAGTTTAACTAGGACAGCCGAGATAATTTTACTTGTTTGAAAACTCCTGGGGCAAAGGACTTTTCAATACAGGACCCAATCTATGGCTGCTCAAGCTGTCTAAGTTCGTTAAATGATTTGAGATATATTTTAGTGACAGAATGAAGCTGGCAATATTTTTAATAGGGAAGGTTTGCCTTAGTACGGCGAAGACAGTGGAACCATAGACATCAGAACTAGTTTCAATTTTCTCCGATGTTCCTCATGATTTATTCCCCTCTCTTTCACATTCAGATATAACTTACGAAATTTTTTCACCATACTCGCAATGGGACATAATCAGAAACACTCCAGTCAGAGGAAACAACCTCTCAGTATCTGCAAAGCTCCTTAAGCATTTTAAGTTTCAGTTCCTACTACTCCAGAGATCAAGAAAGTTGGGAATACCTCAAGAGGCACCTCAGGAGTAATGGTGTCATGTGCGCACGCGGGGAAGAAGTCCTCTATCAACAACAAATTGCACATGGTGAGTGAGGAACTTCTTTTTTCACTTATTCTTTTCTGGAATGTGGGAATCATTGGTTGGGCACAAAATTTATCGACCATCCCTAATTTCCCAGAGGGTAGTTAAGAATCAACTACATTGCCGTGAATCTAGAATCACATGTAGGTCAGAGCAGGAAAGAATGGCCTTAATTGAATTCAAATTGCATTAGCTGCCATGATGGGATTTGAACCTATGCCCTGAGTACATTAGCTGGGTGTCTGGCCCAGTGATATTACGTTGATCCACCATCTCCCCACTCAAGATACTCGTAATCACTACAGAAAATTTACTATGAAAACTAATGGCCCTAGGATACAATGTTCTGTATCTTAGGGTCTTAAAAGAAATGGCTGGAAAGTTGTCATCTTCCAAAATTCCAAAGGCTCTGTGTAAATTCGAAATGGTTTGGAAGACCACAGATGAAACAACTATCAAAGAAAGGAGGGAGACAAAATGCAGAAATGTATAAGCCAATTAGTCTAACATCTGTTGTTAGGAAAATGCACGAACTCATTATGAAAGAGGTAGTTGCAGGATATTCTGAAGAAAAAGCGAGATGAAACAAAACCAGTGTAGTATTCACCAGTGAGAGGGATCTTGACGTTTGTGAGGACAGCGTGAAACAGGCTGATATGCTCGAACAGGTTGATGTTAGGAAGGAGGATGTGCCAGAAACTTTGAAAAAATATGAGGATAGATAAGCCCGCTGGGCCAGACAGGGTATACCCATGGTTTCTCCAGGAAGCGAGAGAAGAAATTGCTGCCCCTTTGGTGATGATCTTTGCGACCTCACTGTCCACTGGATTAGTACTAGATGATTGGAGGGTGGCAAATATTATTCTATTGTTCAAGAACGGGACTATGGATAATCCTGGGAATTACAAACCAGTCAGTCTTACTTCTGTGGTGGGCAAATTATTGTAGAGGATTCTGAGAGATAGCATTTATGATTATTTGGAAAAGCATAGTTTGATTAGAAATATTCAGCACGGCTTTGTGAGGAGCAGATCATTCCTCACAATCCTTATTGAATTCTCTGAGGATGTGACAAAACACACTGATGAAAGTCGAGCAGTGGATGTGAGTATATGCATTTTAACAAAGCATTTGATAAGGTTCCCCATGGTAGGCTCATTCAGAAAGTGCGGAGGCATGCGATTCACGGAAATTTGGCTGTTTGGATGTAGAATTGGCTGTCCATTAGAAGACAGAGGGTAGTAGTAGATGGAAAGTATTCAGCTTTGAGATCGGTGACCAGTGGTGTTCCACAAGGGGCTGTCTGGGACCTCTGCTCTTTGTGATCTTTATAAATGACTTGGATGAGGAAGTGGAAGGGTGGGTTAGTAAGTTCGCCGATGACACAATGGTTGGTGGAGTTGTGGATAGTGTGAAGGGCTGTTTTAGGTTGCAATGGGACACTGACAGGATGCAGAGCTGGGCAAAGAAGTGGCAAATGGAATTAAACTCGGAAAGTTTTCATTTTGGAAGGTCGAATTTGAATGCAGAATACAGGGTTAATGGCAGGATTCTTGGCAGTGTGGACGAACAGAGGGATCTTAGGTTCCACGTCATTAGTTCCGTCAAAGTTGCTACCCAAGTTGATAGGGTTGTTAAGAAGGTGTATGGTTTGTTGGCTTTCGTTGGCAGGGGAATGAGTTTAAGAGCCGTGAGGTTATGATGTAGCTCTCTAAAACACTGGTTATACCACACTTGGAATATTGTGTTCAGTTCTGGTCCCCTCATTAGAGGAAGGATGTGGAAGCTTTGGACAGGGTGCAGAGGAAATTTACCAGGATGCTACCTCGAATGAAGAGCAGGTCTTATGAGGAAAACTTGAAGGAGCTTGGGCTTTTCTCATTGGAGCGAAGAAGGATGAGAGGTGACTTGATAGAGGTGTACAGTTGATGAGAGGCATAGATAGCGTGGTAAGCCAGAAAGTTTTTCCCAGCGCGGAAATGACTATTACAATGGGGGGTAATTTAAAGGTGATTGGAGGAAGGTATAGCGGAGACGTCAGAGGTTCTTTACACAGAGAGTGGTGGGTGCATGAAATGCGCTGCCGGCGGTGGTAGTAGAGTCGGATACATTAGGGATATTCAAGCGACTCTTGCAGAGGCACATGGATGATAGTAAAATTTAGGGTATGCAGGATTGTTTGATCTTAAGGGTAGGATAATAGGTCGGCAAAAAACCGTGGGCCGAAGGGTCTGTACTGTGCTGTACTGCTCTATGTTCTATGTTCTTAAATGTTTAAGTGAGATCTCATTTCATTTCTCTAAACTCTAAGGATATACCAGGCCCACTCAACCTATCACCTGAATGCAATTTTCATCAGAACTTAGCGTCGTGGAAATTATTTGCGTACACATTAAGGCAAGATTATTCTGATAGTCAAGGGGAGCAAAATTTTACAAAGTTCACCACGAGTGGACTCGACACGATATTTCGTCGTTACAGTGGAACTTAGTTATTCTCAAATTCCACTTCTTTTAGAAATAGAGTTCAGTAAAAGCAGTGATCTTGATCTGAAACGGTAACTCACTCTCAACAGAAGTTGCATGGTATACAAAAGTTGACATTAAGCCCATTGCATTTGCGAACATTCAAAGACATTCTTCATTTTTGAGCTTTCTGATGGTTATCTTTTCATGCAGAACGTCGCTTCTGTCCGCAGGTGGCAGCAGTCAATTGTGTCAATTGTGATTCAGTGGGAGCGGTCTAACTTCTTGAGGTAGGCCAAGACATCGCGCCCTGGACAATGATATTGACGGACCCTGTCGTGCGGTACTGAGAGGGGGTATTGTACTGTGAGATATGGCGTTTTCCAGATTAGTCTTTAAACTGTCACCGGTTGTGTTGTCTACCTTTCGTGTAAATGATAACATGACATTATCCTAACCCGACAATGAGAATATCTTCCGTCTGTAATGACTTACATTTCTCCCTATACCAACATCCTAAACCAGCTGCTCTTGTCACTATGCTCTAGGTGCCTGATGCATCACAATAGTGGCTACATTTCACAAATGGTCACACGTTCTTTAAAGCGCCACGGGACATTCCATTCTGAACGGCACTACATAAATGCAAAAATAACACTTCTTCTCCATAGCAATTCCTGTATCTCTCATTTAAAAGGTTTCGCCCGGACATTTGCGTTTGATGTTCACGGACTGCAAACATTTAGCAATTTCATTTTACGAGTTCGGATTTCACAACGATTGCAGCCTCAGGGTGTGTTATCAGCTCCAAGTTCAGTCTGCTCCAAAGTTCAAGGAGAACTCCTTCCTCGCCCATCTCCACTGCGCTCCTCCGTGTTCTGCCTGGTTTAATCTTCAATATTTAAAGTTCATTTTTTTCTCTCTGCGAAAAGGTCGAGAGGACAGAAAAAACAACACTTGATAGTAACCATTCTTTGAGTACTTCAGTGATATTCGTAGCGAAATCGACGAACAGAATGCGTTCACCAGCGGCGGAACATCGTAATGTCGAAGAGGCTAAAGTAGTAAAGCCTGCGAGTGACGCACACTGGTCTGACTAGTTTTTTTTTACATACGTCAGGGCAGTTCTTCAGTACGTCCAGTGAATTCGTTGCCAAGTTTCAGTGAAAACAGGTAGAATCAGGAAATACCGAATTGAAAATGGCTTCCGGGGGGCAGCTCCAGAGTTTGATAGATCAGACAATTTGTCCAATTTGTCTGGATTTCTTCACCGATCCGGTTACGCTGGGTTGTGGGCACAACTTCTGCCGCACCTGTATCATCCAGAGTTGGGAAAACAAGGAGATAAACTCCTGCCCGGAATGTAGAGCGGAGTTTCCAGAAAGAACCCTCAGCATAAATCGGGCCTTGGCGAATCTGACCGAGGAGGCTCAAAAATTAAAGCTTAATTCGAAAGAGGAGGAAAGTAAAACTTACTGTGAGAAACATCAGAAAGATCTGAAACTATTTTGTGAAACCGACAAGAAATTGATATGTCTGAATTGTAAAGATTCGCGAGAACACAGAGAGCACAGCTTCATCTCGATTCAACAAGCGTTTGAAATCTACCAGGTAAAGGGTGAAAGTGAAAGTTTTATCACATTTTCACGATTTGACAATTTAATTGTCTAATTATTTTTTTAAATTTCAGAATCAGCTGAAATCTTCCTTAGATTCTCTCACAGAGAAGAAATCTGCGGCTCTAAAAAAGGAACTGAATCAGAAACGGAAGATTTCTGAAGTTAGGGTGAGCTCTCCATGTCCTTATTTGCTGGGATCTCAGTAGTTTTGTTTCCTTTATCGCTGGGCATTAATGATGTTTCACATTTCATTTATTAGGAACAGGCGAGCAGTCTGCAGGTCCACATCACATCCGAGTTCACTAAAATGCACCAGATTCTCACTGAGAAAGAGCAGCGTTTACTCCGAGATCTCAGGGAAGAAGAGGAGAGGGTTCTAGACACAATGGAGAACAATCTTCGGGAGATTCAGGAAAGTTTAAATTATATTGAGGTGAAACTCTCAAAGATACAGAAGCAGATGAAGCAACAAGATGAAGTGATATTTTTGCAGGTGAGGAAATATATTCCGGGTCAGTTCAGTGAAACTTCACTCATGATGACAAACGTTAATAGAACATTTATTGAAAATTGATTAAAGTAACACAACCGTAATGTCGGGAGCTTCATCCCGCTCGGCACCAAACTAAAACGTTTAATTGTAAAGACACCAAAGTTTTCCTCAAACCATCACCCATTCTGTGAGGTATAAAACTGCAGTTCACGAATAAATAACCTGCTACTCACCGACCTTAGGAAAACCTGAAGTTATACCCTCGCATTATCAACCTGCACAACGAACGATGTTTTGTGAACACGGTTGGAAGTAAAAAAATCTGTGTATCTCATCTTCTTCCGATGTTTATCATATGATATAAATGTGAATTTATATAGCAGGTGATTCAATCTCTCGGAAGATTCCAAAGCAGCCAAAATAAATAATGTTAACTGTTAAATGAAGAGAAGACCAACTGACATAAATAGAAGATGAATTAAATTGAACTTTTGACTCTCTGCGCGGTTCTGCTGTTTTCAATGAACTAATCTCTTCCGCAATGCACATTCTTAGTAAAACCAGCTACCTCTCGGGAATGAATTATCCTATTGATTCTGAGGAATGGCCACCGGACCCGAAACGTTAACTCTGTTTTTTCCTTAGCAGATGCTGCCAGATCTGCTAAGCTTTTCCAGCAACTTTGTTTTTGTTCCTATTGATGCTTGCTTAGTTATTATTTTCGTGTTACCAAGTCTAGTTACCTCCTAGTGCCATTATCTAGCAGATAGTCGAGTGGAATTCTGCAAGCTTGGCATCAAGTCACATGGGGAGTGTTGGCCTCTATTAATCCAGAGACTCATGTAACTTTTAGCTGATGTGGTTTTTAGCCCTATTCCCCTGCCCTCTCCCATGTTGAGTTTGTGTGGGCGTGTCTGAAGAAGTGAGAGTCACTGTGTCTGTGAGCGGAATTGATGTTCAGTTCCACTTTATTCTCCCTCTTCTCAATCTTCCTTCCAAAATGCATCATTTTACACTCCCGTGTTGTGTCTGGTTGTTTCAGCAGCCTGTCTGTCTCCTCCTGAAGTCTGTTACTTAATGCTCACTATTTGTAATTCATTTCTTTCAGGAATCAGCTTCTCGGAAAAGAAGGTAGGACATGCTCTTTACTGAAACTCTGCGCAGTTTACTCAATAACTCAACGATGAATTATTATGGATTTATTTCTTGGTTATTACCGTCGTTTTAAAGATGTTTTGTTTATCGGGCGACAGTAACTCCATTTATGGGTCAAACACGAATGACTTTACATAATAGGGTGATGTTTGCAGTGTTGAAACAATATTAGATTTTACATAATGGTTCTACGACGCTATAATAAACGACAAAATGCCTGTAAATAATGCAACCTGGTTCTCAGACTGGAAGTCATCACTAATCTGATTTGGGCTAATTGTGTTACTGTGATCTCCTCCTGACACTCAGAGCGACACATGGCCGATGTTTGCAGGGAATGGCCACCTTCCCTCTCTGGCTCCTGACCAAGTCAAGACAGTCAGAGTTTAAGATGGAATAGTGGTTCTCATTTTTGTAATACTTGCACAGTTTATAACACTACACAACATCCCGTATTGATATAAGCATCTTCAATGTAATATGAGGTCCCAGGTCATTTCACGGAAACATTTGAAATCAAAACATAAACCGAGATATTATCACAGTTGACTCATATGGATTTTAGAAAATCTTATGGAATAAAACAGAAATGAGATGGAGAGTCTCAGGAAGGGAATTCCAAAGCTAGCGAACTCTGCAGCTGAAGATCAAACAGCAATGGGAAGCAACTGAAATCGGAGTTGTTCAACATGACAGAAGAAAAAGAGTAAGATCCCCGGAGGGTTGAGCAGCCATCGTAACGTACATTTGGACATTAGACATTGGAAATGCCTTCAGTCTTTGTCTTTGTTCCATATGCTCTGTTTATAATACAGCAAGCTCACGGGGGAAAAATTAACCATCTCAGAGTGTGATGTCGGAGTGACTAATCAGTTATCAGGCTATAAACCCTTTCTTTTCACCTGGGTGTTTCCAAATGTTACCCTTACATTATCAAATTATTTTTGCTCCATTGTGCAAAGAAGATTAATATTCCATTTGTAACCACAGTGGCCGAAATGCAAAACTGCTGAAAGCTCGACCATTTAAATCACTTCTGAAATACTCAAAGAAAATGGAATTTGTAATACCATCTGTTTAATAATTGCAGGATTAGTGATGAACATCAGCAACTTTCACATGTGGATTTAGTCCTATCTGTTGGAAAGTATACTGGGCCTTTACAGTACATAACATGGAGAGAAATGATAAACATCATTCACCCAGGTAAAATTTTGCTTTAATGTACCTGAGGATAAATCAGTTGTGTTGGCACTAAAACCAACATTTTTATATGCTCGTATTATTTGTTATTAATCCCGAAAGACCCTCTCTTTTCATACTTTACTTGGGGAAATGGCTGAAGCCTTCAGCACTGAGTGTTAAATCAGTGAAACAATCTGTCTAACACAAGGAATAGAGAAACAAGAGCAGAAACTGCCTGTGAAACTCAGCAGGTCTGACAGCCTCTGTGGGTAGGAAGCAGGACTAACGTTTACAGTCCACTGGCGCTTCATTGGAATGATATCGACAGACTTGAAACATTGATTCTGCTTTCACTCCACAGCTGCTGCCAGATATACTGAGTTTCACCAGCAAATTCTGTTCTTTTTTTTCCCTCAGGCCTCCGGCATGAGCAGTTCTTTGTTTATGTAGGCGGAATACAGAAACTGAAATTTACAATGAGACAGGACTGTCTCCATTTGGACAGATATTTAGATGACATTTTTGTTATTTCTATCTCAAAACCATGCTTAGCATCAGATCCAATATAAGTGTAATACTTTAGGGGTAATTGAGTAATTAGAGATAAGATGCTGGAAGACTGGACTAATATGGAGCCATTGTTTAAGAAAGGCTGCCAGGAAAAGCCAGAGGTCTAAAAACCGGTGAACCTAAAGTCAGTGGTGGCTAAGTTGTTGGAGGGAATTCTGATAGACAGGAAGTACATACTTTTGGAAAGACGCGGACTGATTAGTGACAGTCTGCATGGTTTGAGCGTGAAAAATCATGTCTCACAAATTTGATTGAGTTTTCAAGAAGATAGATGAAGGCAGAGCAGTAAATGCATTCTAAATGGACATTAGCAAGGTCTTCGACAAGGTACCAATGGTTGACTGTTTAATAAGGTTAGCTTACATGGGATCCGAGGAGAGCTAGCCAATTGGATACAAAATTGGTTTGAATGTAGGAGACAAAGGGTGCTGGTAGAGGGTTGTTGTTCATACTAGAGGTTTGTGATCAGTGGTGTGCCACAAGCATCAGTACTGGGTCCATTATTGATCGTCATTCATATAAACGATGAGAATACAGGAAGCATGGTTAGTAAGACTGGTATCGGGCGACACGGTGGCACAGTGGTTAGCACTGCTGCCTCACAGCGCCAGGGACCTGGGTTCGATTCCAGCCTCAGGCAACTGTCTGTGTGGAGTTTGCATATTCTCCCCGTGTCTGCATGGGTTTTCTCCGGGTGCTCTGGTTTCCTCCCACAGTCCAAAGATGTGCAGGTTAGGTGGATTGGCCATGCTAAATTGCCCGTAGTGTTCAGGGAGGTGATGGATCTGGGTGGGATGCTCTGAGGTTCGATGTGGACTTGTTGGGCCGAAGGGCCTGTTTCCACACTGTAGGAATTCTAATTGTTGACTGTGGGTGCCACCAAACTTTGCGGTATAGTGAACAGTGAAGAAGGTTATCTAAGACCACAAGAGGATTTAATCAAATTGGCCAGTTAGTCAAGGAATGGAAGATGCAATTTCAGGAACCCGGTTCAATTAGACTCTTGGGCGACTGTCTGTGTTGAGTTTGCACATTCTCCCCGTGTCTGCCTGGGTTTCCTCCGGGTGCTCCGGTTTCCGCCCTCAGTCCAAAGATGCGCAGGTGAGGTTGAGTGGCCATGCTAAATTGTCCATAGTACCCGGGGAATGGGTTTGGGTCGGATGCTCTTTGGAGAGGCGATGTGGACTTGTAGGACCGAATGGCCTGTTTCCACACTGTGGGGATTCTATGATTCTGTGAAGTGCGAGGCTTGCATTTTGGCAAGACAAAGATGTATAAGACTTATACAGTTAATGGAAGGACTCTGGGGAGTGTTGTCGAACAGAGACGCCTAGGGTGCAGGTACATTGTTCCTTGAAAAGGGTGGTATAGGTAGACAAGAGATAGTAAGAACTGCCGATGCTGATAACACAGTGTGGAGCTGGAGGAGGCAGCAGGGCAGGCAGTAGCAGAGGAGCAGGAAAGCCTTCTGCTTGTCGGGGATTCCTGAGTGATGGCTGGTACACAGAAACTGTATCTCTTTGAACCCTGGTCTGATGGAGAAGGTCCATAGCTCTGGTCTCGCAGAACCAGTCTGGTGGGGAATATCCCACGAGTGGGACAGAATTCCTGATGTTAATACTGTTATGGTTAAGCACTGGATCACCATTTGAGTACTTTTCCGGATATTCTATTGTGCATTCCATTGTGGCTCTGTGTAAACTATATATAAATGGTCCCTACTATCAATGTCACCCAGTTATCTCCGAGGCAAAATAGGCTGTTTTTTTCGCCATGACTGTTTTTCACATACTTTCACTTTACCTCAATTACCTTTTGTGATGTGCAATTAAGGCTTAACAGTTACCCCCTAACTGTCTGGTTTGATATCATTTTTGAACTTAACAGTACGCTGATTGACTCTGTCTTCATAGTACAGTCTTGCCGTCCCAGAAATCAGACTGTTAATCCTTCTCCACATTTTCTCTATAGCAAGAACACCCTTTCTCAAATAAGGAGACCAAAGCTGTCTACAATACTCCACATGAGGTCTCACCAAGGCCCTGTGCAATTATATTTAATTATACATTTGGTTTCCACGTCTAAATCGTTAGTGTTTAGTGTGAATGGGGATACCAAGCACGGATACCGTTAGTACCCAACTATTCATTGACTGCATTTCGGAAAATGTACGGTTTGTTCTCATTCTCTTTCCCAACTATCAAACAGTTGTCTCTGTACACTACACCCAAACACATGCACTTTAATTTTACATACTAAGCTCTTATGTGGAGCCTTATCAAAATTGTTCTGAAAATCTAAGTAAACAGCATTAACTCTGCTAGTTATACCTCATGAATATCCAGTTGTCAAACATAGCTTCCCATTTGTAATTCCCTACTGAGTCTATTCAATCCTGTCTTTGCTTCCCAAGTGCTGTGTTATTAAATCTTTTATTATCAGCTCTGGCTTTTCTCCATGATTGACGTCAGGCCGATTTTTAATTCCCTGTTTTCTCTTTACTTTTTTTTTCAAATAGTGGGGTTACACTAACTACTCTCTAATACATAGAAACTATTCTAGATTTTATACAATCTTGAAAGATGATGAACAATTCATCTATTATTTTGAGGGCCAATTCCTTATTGAGCCCTGGGATATAATAGCCTTTAATTATTTTCCACAATACCGTTTCCTATGAAGTTGGATTTCCTACAGTTCCTTCTTTTCGCTAAACCCTCTGTTCCGTAACATTATTGGGATGTTATTTGTGTCTTCCTTTGTGAAGATGGAACAAAGTTTGTATCTAATCGGTCTGCCATCTCTTTTTTTTTTGCCCATTATAACTTCCCTGGTTTCTGACTCTGGAGGAACTACATTTGCATTCACTAACCTTTTTCTCTTAACATCCCGATAGAGAATTTGACAATCAGTTTGTAAGTTCTCTGCAAGCTTACTCTCATACTTTATTCCCACCTCCCCCCAATCTTATTCAATTCTTGAGCCCTCTTTTGTTGAAATCTAAACTGCTCCCAATCTTCAGGTCTGTTGCTTCTTTTTTGCTAATTTCATATGCCACTTCCTTGCTTTAATACTATCCTTAACTTCCCTTATTAGTCGGCCCTCCTTTCCTGTTTTAATTTTACGGCAGACAGGAATGAACAATTGTTACTGTTCATCCACGCCGTCTTTAAAGGCTCACCTTTGCCTCTCCATCCTCATCCATTAAAGTAATACTTCCCAATTTATCGTCAGCTTATGCCTCAAACGATTGTAGATTTCTTCAGTTAGATTCGACATGAATTCTTTTTCATAAACCCACGCTGACTTTAGCTCATCCTGTTAAAGATTTCCAAGTGGTCTGTCTTTTTTAATAGACTAAAGTATTCTCTCCTTTGGATGTTAGGATCAGCCACAATCTTATTGAATGTTGGAACAGACTGAAGATTCCAAACGGTTTATCTCTGTTCGTTATTCCATTGTGCATGTGTGACAGCTTTCCATCCTATTAATCTTACCAAAACATTTTTTAAAACTCATGTCATGTTTCTTCAGTACCTCCTTCCTAATACACTCTTGCTTACCGAGTATTTCCTAGAATTTATTTTGGTATTTATCCCCATCTAAACACATTCTAAAGTATTTGATTCATTGTTCTGCCACCTCCATATTTTCAATTATCAATTCTCCGTTTCAGATTTCAAAGGGCCTATATCTGTCTTCACCAAACTAACGTTTTTTTTTCACAGCATTTAGAATCCCTTTCAGTTCATTGTCAAATTTCATATGTTTCTGTCCCCATTCGTATTCTCCCTTCACAATCCCTTCCTACCATTGTCTCATGTAATTATTCTCTCTCTTGCTCACCCTCAATTCCCCCACGTTACTTTCCATGGAACAGTTCAATTTACTTAGTCTCCCCATTCAATCAGTGACCCTCAATTCACACTTCACTCCTGCTCACTGTCCATCCCAGCGAAGCTTCCCAGACCAGTCACTATGACTTGAAGCTCATTCTCCTTTCGCCCTCTCTCTCACATTTAAACACGATAAGTGCTTACCGCCCTTGCCTTCACCCTTTCCTTCACAATTCCATTGAACTCACTCTCTCCTCCCCCATATTCCATAATCGTTATACCAACCCCTTTCCTGCTTGCCATCCACTAAATCCTCACTCTCCCTTACCTCCCACGCTATCGATATTTCCTTTAACCTCTCTCCCCTCCAACTCATTCACTAATATCCCTTCCCCAGCATTCCATCTCCTACTCACATTCAGGTCACTAACACTCTCCAATCTCCCTTCCCTAACACTAATACCCCTCTCCACTCTCCATTCTTTGTTTGCTCTCCCCAGCCCACCATTCTCCCCACTCACTCCCATCTTCCCAGCCATCACATCTCCTGCTGTCCCTTTCTCTTGCTTCTTCACTTCCCTTCCAGCTCAGATGGCCATCAACTATTTCCTAACGCTTCAGCCTATGCCTCAAACAGACTCTACTCATCCTGCAGCACCTCTAACCTCTTGCCCTCCCTTTCCTTCAGATTGGCTTCCCATCTGGGTCTCATTTCTCAATCTCTGCCTCATTCTTCATTCTCTCCCTTTTTCCAGCTGTCTCCCCTTCATACTCCCATCTTCCAACATGTTCCCCATTATTCTATCCATCACTGTCCCTCTCCCCTGCACGCTGCTGAACCCCTCCACACTAATCACACCTCACTGTCCCCCACTCCCTCCAAATCCCCTCTAAATTTTGGCCCCTCATTCTACGCTTAATCCCCTCCGTACGTTTCAGTCACACTTACCTTTGTCTTCCCTCTCTCCTATCTATCCCATTCGCCTTCACTTGTAATACCCCTCATTTTCCCCCACGTCAATCCTGCTCTTCCTAACACTTGCTTCCCCTTTCTCCAGCTCACCTCCATTTCATTCTTATCTCGTCTCCTTCCTGCCACCTCCTTTCTCCTTTATTCACAATGTCTTCCTCCCACTCTGTTCCCCTCCCTCTGACCTCCACATTCTCATAACCCTGTCCATGACACTGCCAACTCCCAAAGTCCTCTGTACCCTCCATTCTCCTTTTCACTCTTTCCTGCCTTTCTACCCACCCCTGCTTTCACCCAAAATACACCCGCCTTCTTTGTTAACCTTCTTCTCTGTTAATCCTTTCGTTCCCCTGCCTTGTCCTCCGTAGGTCCCACTCCTTTCCTCTTCACTCTCCACAATTCATCACTTCCCCACCAAATTTACTGTCCCGTACCAATAACTCAATCCCTCTTGTTCAGCCGGCTGTGCCCCATTATTCCCTCCTCTTCCATATTATCCCCTCCCCCAATCCCACAACACACCCCACGCCTGTCTAAATCACAGATTGACTTATTTTAACTCACCAACCCTCCCTTTCTCTGTCACTAACAGTGTTCGTTTTGTTTCCTCTCCCAGCTCCAGCCTCTCTGACTCTGGATCTGAACACAGCGAATACCCAGCTCGTCCTGTCTGAGGACCGGACCAGTGTGAGTCTCGGAGACAAACCGCAGCCCCTCCCTGACTCACCGGAGAGGTTTGATCCCTGGTTCTGTGTCTTCGGATCAGAGGGATTCACATCAGGGAGACATTACTGGGAGGTTCAGGTGGGGGAGAAGATGCGTTGGGCTTTGGGAGTGGCCCGGGAGTCTGTGGAGAGGAAAAGGGGAATCTACCCAAGCCCGGAAACCGGTCACTGGATTGTGAGGCTCAGTCCCGGAAGTGGTTATTTTGCCGCCGGGTTCCCCTCACGAACCTACCTCTCCCCTAGTGTACACCCCAAGAAGATCGGAGTTTTCCTGGACTATGAGGGTGGACTGGTGTCATTTTATAATGCGGACGACATGTCCCATCTCCACACTTTCACCGACACTTTCACTGAGAAGATCTTTCCCTTCTTCTATACGGGACCAAACGTTGACGAGAAAAACTCGGGTCCGCTGACAATATGCGGGATTAAAGAGCATTGACAGATCCATCCCATAATTTCACCCCGTCCCCCTACCTCCTGCCAACTGATGGGGGGAGGTCTCAGTCACAGGTGGAGAGAACATTCTCGAAATGGGATTCTTCAACAAAAAATTTTCAGAGAACCAAGGGATTTGTTCTTTAAAACTGAATTGACATCTGAATTAAACCCAAGAAGCATAAACTCAACACATATTTTTGTTTTGCTGGGTATTACTGCGCAGCTTTTATTTGTATGTGATACATTCCAAATTAATGGCAGGTTTTAAGTCACGTTGAAAGAGGAAACTGTCTTGAACGTCTACATGGGGCAAGACTGTAATGAAGACTGATTTGACAATCTCTGGAGAATGTGATAACACAGCGTGGAGTTGGAGGAACACAGCAGGTCAGGCAGCATCATAGGACCACGAAAGCTGACGTTTCGGTGGTGACCCTTGACCCGAAACGACTGCTTTCCTGTTCCTCTGATGCTGCCTGGCCTGAGGTGTTCCTCTAGCTGCACACTGTGTTATATCAGACTCCAGCATCGGCAGTTCTTACTATCTCCAGAGAATGTGACTTGTGGACTGTGCGGGTGGCAAATGTCATTAATAAATAATGTCTAACTACATAAATCGAGTTCCCTTAGTGTACACCAGAGTGTTAGTAGAATTAGAGTTACAATTTGTCTCTGGTTTATTGATCTGTCAATCACTGTCTACATCAGTGAAGTTGTCCGAAAATCATGACGTAATTATCTATGCTATTAAATCTGATATTGAAACACACTGTACGAGGAATTCTTTCTGTATAACATCATTATTACACCACAATATAAATTCTTGTGATGTTGGTGATTTTGTATGATCGTTAATCCATTTGAAATGTCATTCTTCATCAAAAATAATCAGGGAACCAGGGTCCGTGTTCGTCAAAACTGAATTGACTTCTTAATTAAATCCAAGGATTATAAACTCAACACTTCTTTTGCTTTATTTGATATTACTCCATACCTTCTATATGTTTGCCATATATTCCAACTTCATCTGAATGAAGCCTTCATACAGATTAAATAAAATGACATGCTTGGAAGCGTGACTAAAATTTACTCTGATATATGAGCCAAACCATCTTGGGTCAGGTCCTGAGATGGGCAAAGGGAACACCCACCTGTTTCAGGTGGGAGCAACACAAGATCCTAAAATCAGAAGGAGCACAACATCATCCACAGGCCTTTGTGACTACAGAGGCGCCTTGATCGAAATATTCAACTGGTGCCCGTCCAGTTCATTCAGCACCACTTCCTGCTGTGTCTCCACCGCATCCCATTCTCGAATATTCTTTACATTGAAGTTTTCACGCAGTTAATTTTTGAAAGTTACTGTTATATCTTCCCTCACCACACTAAGAGGCTCTGTTTTCATAACTGGCTATATGAAGCTCCACATAAACCTGACTTTGCTTCTTATGTAACCACCTTACATTTTACCCTTCGGTTGGTGATCCCTTTACCACGGAAACAATCTCTCCTTATTTACTCTGTCAAATCCTTCACAATTTCCAAATTTTCTTAGACCCTCCCATCAATTTATCCTGTAGAGGTACTGACCATAATCCTTCAATATTCCTGAGACATAGGGAGGTGCATGAAAACCAGAGGTTGATTACGATGATGGATGTGAGCAGAAGGTGAAAAGATGAGGAGGCATTTGGGGTGAGTGGGAGATATGGGAAATGAGTAGAAGGGGTAGCTGGCTTTGGAAAATGCAAGAGAGGGGTGAAGAGGCTAGGGGTAAAGAGAGTGTTGTTGAGGATTGGGAAAAGAAAGAAAAGGAGTTGAGGTTAAGGAGAATGATGAGTGTAGTGAGGAGCAGTGTACTGTTTAAAATCCTGATTACTTGCTGTACTAGCCTATTTATTTTCGTTAGTGCACAAGGGCACCCAGATTCCTTTATGCAACAAATTTATAAGTAATACTGTGCCTTTCTGATTTTCAGACCAACTAAAAAAACTTCATGTCCATGCATGTCATACTGTATCTGTCATGAGTCTGCCCATACAACAGAATATCAAGGTCACCCTAAAGACTCATTGCATCCTGCACACAACTGACAACCCCTCCTCATTTTATTTGTCAGCAAACTTGGAATATTATATTTGGCTCTTTCATCCAAATGACTTATGTACATATATATATCCTGAATATGTGGGGCTGAAGCACAGATCCATGTGGTACAGTTCTAGTGACTGGAAAAAGACTATTTTTTCTATTTCTCTTTTTCTGACCTGTTAACCAATTCTCAGTCCATGTCAATACATTATCCCTAATCACAGTTACTTTAATTTTAACTACTAGCTTCTTACGTAAGTTCTTAACAAAAGCTTCCCTAAAATCGAAATATACCATATCCTCATTCACACATATCACTTTGACTTGTCAAATTCTCTTTTAAAAAATCCCAGTAAATTAGTTAGGCATGAGTTGTCTGTCATAATCCCATACTGACTTGGTCTAATTCTGTAAATCACCTGCTATGATGTCTTTTATAATAGACTTTGGCTTTTTCCCAACAACAGATGTATGGCTAATTAGTCTGTATTTATGTTTTTTTTTCTCACTCTCCCTGTTTCTTTAAGCAGTGGTGTTACATTTGCCATGCTCCATTCTGTAGGAAATGCTCCAAAGTCTACAGATTTTTGGAAGATGCATTCAACATTTCCAGGACCATTTCCTTTAATACTCTGTGATGCAGATTTTCAGGGCCTGTGATTTGTCAGACTTTAATTCTATTAATTTTTCCAGACTTTTTTTCTTTTACAAATACTGATTATCCTCCTAATCTCCCTTTAATTTGACGTTTCAGCAAGGTATTCTCTCAGCTTTCTTGACTCAATGTTGGGTTCAACAATTTCAGACTGTGAACTCTTGATCTAAATTTGAGTCCATTTGTTTGCATGCTTCAGGTGTCTTTTTTTGTTCTTTCAATCAGAATCACATGAGCTCCAGGCACATTTTTTTTCTCTGTCTCTTTCTTTTTGCACCATCTCCATTCTCTTTGAAGTTGAAGAACTAACTGTTCTGCAATTTTATCCTTCCTGTCTTTCATCCTGTCACAGACATTCCTTTTGTCCTCATCCATTCCAGCGCTCATTCAAAACCTATTGGATCTTGTAACATTTGCCTTTTCATCACCTGATACATTAAATCTGTTTTGCTGTCTACACAGAATCTGTGTAACCTGCTGAACTTTTTTTTCACCACTTCTGTCTTTAATTTAATCTTGTTGAGTCCTCTCCACCTATCCTCCATCCTCAGCATCAACAAGTGCTTGGAGCTTTTTGACATTCTGTCAGTAAAATTGAGGCTGGCCAATCAGCTGCATCTGCACTTTCTGTCCTTTTCTCATGTTCTCTGTGCCACACCGCCTCTACAATTCCACCTTGTCATGCCTTAAATTTGCATCTTTCTTGTCATTTCTCATTTTTGCTCAGGGTTTGTCTTATACTGCAGGATGTTCACTTCCTCAACCATATTCTGACTAACATCTGATGGCCCAACTTCTTCGTGTTATCTAACCCTGTTAATATTTCCTTCCCTTCTGGTTCTGTACTTCAGTCTTTCATATCTTGTAACCACCAATCAGTTTTCTTTACTCACGTGGCAAATGACAATCCCATATCCAAACATCATTTTTTCTCCAAAACTCCTTAAAATGTTGACCTTAAAAGTACTTTTAAAGGTAAAACTCCAGCAAAAGTTTCTGCCGATATTTTCCAGAACTTCATGTTTAAATTTCATCAAAGTGGTTTCCATCCCATCCACAGTATCACTGCACCATAAGACATAGATGCAGAAATAGGCCATTCAACTCATTGATTCTGCTTCCCAATTGAGTTCGATCATGACTGATCTGTTAGCCCTCAAATCTACTTTCCTGCCTTTTCGCATAACTATTTATTCCCTTGCTGACTAAAATTGTCCCCATTTGAGCGTTGAATAATCTGAAGGAACCAACAGCACTCAGCAGTAAAGAATTCTACAGATTCAATACCTTCTAGGCGAAGAAATTTCTCCTCATTTCTGTTTAAATGCCTGACTCATTTTGAGACTATACTCTCTTATGCTCAACTCTCTCACAATAGGAATGAAACTTTCCACAAGTACCCTGTCAAGTCCACCAAGAACCTTATATGTGTCAATAAGTTCGCCTGTCATTCATTTAACATTCCAATCAGCACAGCCCCAACCTACTCACCTACTTCTCCTAATACAATCTGTCCACATCAGGTACCAGCGAGTAAATATTTGCTGGACTACTGCCAGTACCGATATATATTTTCTGAAAACAGTTTGCAGTTTTCCACTTTTGATCTAAGTCATGCCTTGTATAGCTTTAACAAATCCTCCCTCCTTTAATATTTCACTCCCTGTAAAAGAAAGGCCTACATTTCATTTGTGATTTACCTGTTACTCACTGAACATGGATTATAATGTTCGTGATTTATAAATATGGACACCCAAATACCTTTGTCCTGTAGTATTCGGCAGTGATTCTCCATTTAAGTAATATTCAGCTCCTCTATGCCGCCTGTCAAAGAACTTAATTTTACATTTCCCCACATTATATTGCACAGAATCATTGCATAATTCAATACATAATTGCCTTTCTGATTTGTTGAGTCTTTTCTACCAAAAATGCATTAAATCGACACTAAACCCACTTTCCGGATCTGGGCCCATAGTCTTGAATGTTATGATACTTCATGTGCTTATTGTGATCAGCTTGTGCCTTTTAAGAAATGTTCTGTCCTCTTTCTCTTAAAGATTCTCTTTCTTCAGAAGCAGGGGCGAACAGCTCGCTGAGTATTCATATTTTTAGGAAGATTAAAGAAGCATGGTTGGGTGGAGTCAGGCTCACACAGGCCCAGGATTTTAGTATGGCTTTCAGTTAAGGCTTTTAGAGTTGAACCGGTGAGACACAGCCTTCTTTCTGCTATGGCAAGAAGTTTTGAGTTCTCTCTCTGCTGCTAGATAGTTTATTTTGGTGTAATTTTCACCTAGACTGGAAATAGCTGATTAGGAAATTCTTCTTAACTAAATTTGTAATTGCCATAGGTGTGTTTATGGGGAGCTGCTATATTGAACACTTGATTTAGTATTCAATAGAATTAAAATTATGCTAATATTTGATCATATTTTAATTCTGTTGCATTCTGTTTGCTTAAAGCCTAGTCATGAACAAACCGAATTATAAGAGGCACATTGGGCCTATATTGGCCTTTAAATTGATTAAAGTTAGAATCTAGGCTATCTCCTTGATATATTTTGAGGAGGTTTGCTCTGGTCCATAACATCATCCAAGCACATGTAAAAGGTTGTGAGGTTAACTGTCTCAACTACCCTCCCTGAATGTGCATTTCAGAACACTGCCACCCTTTGGGTGATTTCATTTTGTCTTAAGTTCCCTCTAAATCTCTTGCCATTCGCTTTAAAAGTGTACCCCTTTTTATTGACCCTTTACTAACGTGAACAGCTATTTCCCATACACACCGTCCAAGTATCTCATCATCTTATACACCTCTATCTGTCCCTGCTTTATCTTCTCTGCTCTAAAAAAAACAACTCAAGGCAATCAAGTCTCTTTTTGTTGCTAAGATGCTCCATCCTAGAAAACATTCTGGTGATTCTCTTCCACACTACCTGCACTGCAATGACGTTCTTCCTATTGTGCTCAGATCAGAACTGCACACAGTACACCAGCTGTGGCCTAACCACAGATGTGCAACATCAACATAGCTTTCCGGTTTTTATAATCTATGCCTCGACTGACAAAGTTGTGTCTGGAATGCATTCTGCACTAATCTATTAAACTGTACTGCCACCTCAAAGGATCTGTGTACAAGCCCCCAATGTCCCTCAGTTCCTCTCAGCTTTCTAGTGTTTTGTCATTTATTGAGTGCTCGCTTGTCATATTCCTTCTTCCAAAGTCCATCACATCACATCTATCAAGGTTAAATTGCATCAGCCACTGATCTCCCCACCTGACAAATCCATCTGTGTCTTCTTGTAACCCAAAATCTTCTTCCTCATTGTCAATCAGCTGGTCAATCTTCATGTCATCTGCAAACTTGGATACCTTTCCCCCCACATTCTAATCTGCACTTCACAAACAATAAAGTACGAAGCATTGACGTTTGTGGCACAGCACTCGACACTGGTTTCCCACCACACAAGCAGCCTTCTACCATTACTTTCTGTCGCATTTCACTAGGCTAATTTTTATTCTGACTTGCCATGTTACCCTGGATCCCATGTACTTTTACCTTCTGCATTAGTCTCCCATGTGGGATCTTGTCAAAGTCCTTACTAAAATCCATATAAACTACATCAAATGCACTACCCTTCATCTACACACATGGTCACCTCTTCGAAAAATTGAACAAAATTTGTTTGATATGCCGTGCCTCTGACAAAGCCATGCTGACTACCCTTTTTTTTTCTCTCTTTTTCTTCTTTTACTCGATCTCCCTTTTTCTTCTTTCTCTCTCTGTCTCTTTCTCTCTTTGCCTTTCCCCCTCACTTTCTTTCTTCTTTCTCTCTCTCTCTTTATCTTCTTTATGTTTTTCTTCTTTCTCTCTCTTTTTCTTCTTTTTCTCTCTCTATTTATCTTCTCGTTCTCTCTCTCTCTTTCTTCTTTCTCTCTGTTTTTTCTTCCTTTCTCTCTGTCTCTCTTTATCTCTCTACCGTTCTTCTTTCCCTCTCTTTTTCTTCTTTCAATTTCTCTCTGTTTCTTCTTCCTCTCCATCTGTCTCTTTTTGTTCTTTCTCTTCCCATTTCTCCTTCCACCTTCTCTTTGTTGTCTTCCTCTCACTTTTTCTTCCTTCTTTCTCTGTTTTTCATCTTTCTCTCTCGTTCTTCTTTCTCTCCTTCTCTCTCTTTTCCTTCTTCCTATCTCTCTCTTTCTACTTTCTCTCTCATTATCTTCTTTCTTTATGTTTTTCTTCTTTCACTGTATTTTTTTTCTTTCTCTCTCTCTATTTTTCTTCTCTTTACCTCGCTCTCTTTCTGCTTTCTCCCACTTTTTCTCCTCTCTCTCTCCTTCTTTCTCATTATCTTTTTCCTCTTTCTCACTTTATCTTCTCTCTTTCTCTTGTTCTTCTTTCTCTCACTCTCACTTTTTCTTCTTTCTCTCCCTCTCTTTCTTCTTTCTCTCTCTCTCTTTCTTCTTTCACTCGAATTCTTTTTTATTTCTTTCTCTCTTCTTCTAGTCTCTCTTACTTCTTTTTCTCTGTCTTTCTTCTTTCTCTCTTTTTCTTCTTTCTGTCTTTTTCTTCTTTCACTCAATCTCCCTTTTTCTTCTTTCTCTGTCTGTCACTATCTCTCTCTTTTCCTTTTCCCCTCATTCTCTTTCTTATTCCCCTCTCTTTTTATCTTCTTTCTTTATGTTTTTCTTCTTTCTCTCTCTCGTTCTTCTTTTTCTCTCTCTATTTACTACCCTTTCTCTCTCTCTCTCTCGTGATAATTATTTTATTCATTTCCTTTGTTCTTTTTCCCATTCGATTTTTAGTGAATTGGGAATGCTATTAGTCTTCTACTGTGATCAAAGTATTTCTTAACTTTTCTGCCCATCCCTGATTCCCCTTTACTGTTTGCTCAGACGCATTTTTAAATGACTGATGCTCGTTTTGTCATCTCGCTTCCTTTTTTCATATGTTTAAAGATGCTTTTGCTATCCATCTTTATCTTACTTGAAAATTTGCTCTGAAAAGTCACCTCTATTATTTTTCTGAGCATCTTTCCCAAGACACTGTCTTACCACTAATCTTTGCCACGTTGTATTTTCTTTTTCTTTCAATATGATCTTATCCTTAATATCCCTTATTAATCATTCTAGGCCTATCTGCATCCTAGATTTGTTCTTTCTCATTGATTGCACTGGATAAAATCAGACTAAACTGGACTGGCAGATGCCTTTGCAGGATATGGAACAGGGAAAAAGGAAGTGAGGAAAATGTACAGATAGAAGACTCTTGTCTCCATTCTCTCTTCTGCCTCTCAGCCAACTTCACAACCAAGTAGATATTTTATCTTCAATCCCACTGTACTCATCACAGTCGCTGTTTAAAGCGCAGAAATAAAAATGATGCTCTCCACATTAATCGTTCCTTTTGAAAGTGAGTTACAAATTCTCATCACTCTAAGCGAAGAAATTCCTACTAATAATGGAAGGACTCCAAGGTTTTTTTTATAACCAGCTGAGTTCTTTATTTCTGTGCCAGTCTCGTCGCGAAGGATCCATTGAACTCAGAGGACCGTCTTATGAAGGTTTTTGCGATGTTATGGCTTTCATAGAAAATGCACTGCATCATGTCTCCAAATTCGTCTGGAAAGGAACATTCCAAAAACAGGTGAGAAACTGCCTCAGCTCCAGTGGGAGGTGTCAGTTGTGGTTCAGTGGGAGTGCTCTTACCTCTGAGTTAGGCCTGGGCAATAATGCAGACTGACACTGCCACGCGGTACTGAGAGAGTATTGCACCCGTGAGATGTGGCGTTTTTCGGATTAATCTTTAAACTGTCAACTGGTGTGTTCTCTCGGTTTATGGAAATGATAATGCGACACTCTTCAAACCTGACAATGGGAATATCTTCCTTCGTTATTGACTTCCATTTCTCTCTCCACCAACACCCCCAAACCTGCTATTCTGGTCACTGGTTTCATCAGATGCCTGATGTACTTCTTGCATCACAACGGAAACTTCATCTCAGAAATGGTCACTGTTCTTTAAAAGCACCAACGGACGTCGTCTAATGATGCTCTATCAATGTGATAACTTCACAGTCGCATTTTCGGTGAAGATTTATGTAACTATCATTTAAAATGGCTTCTGGACATTTACAGGCTTTGGTCTTTAAGATCGAGTGGGTGCAGTCAAACACACGATCCAGGTTAAGGATCTAAACCTTACCCCAGAATTCAGCAGCGGGTTTGTAACCGTCAATGGTTTTCCTGGATATAGTCATACAGTCAAAGTCATAGAGTCATACAGCACGGAAATAAACCCTTCGGCCCAATCAATCCATTCGGAACTTAATCCCAAACTAGTCCCAGCTGCCTGCTCCTGGCCCATATCCCTCCATACCTTTCCTATTTTCATGTATCCATCCAAATGTCTTTTAAACGGTGTAACTGTATTCGTAACCGCGACTTCCATACGCATCGACATTTTTGTATAGAGGAAATATAATCTTAATATTGTGAAGGAGAATCCAGGTTAAAACACGTAGGAACACAGACAGAGGAAGAGGGCGGGGTTGGCGATGGTCGGGGTGTGAGTTCTCCCTGAATTTTGCTGCACAGTGAACTCACTGCTGGTTTCAAACCCTCTGGTGAAATCCAGATCCATTAGTTGAATTGTGTGATTGATTGCAGTCAAACATTTTCAATCACAAAATATTGTAACATTCAGCAGACATTTTAAAGGACAGACACAGAAATCTTAGAGAACAAACGTATGAGGTTCTTGCATTTATATGGCGCCATTCACAACAATGAGCTGTCCCACGACGCTTTAAAAGACATTGACCTTTTCTAAGATGTAGTTATTGCTGTGATGTGGGAAGTTTATCAGGCATCTAGAGCACTGCCATGAAACCAATGACCAGAACAGCTGGTTTGCGGATATTGCTCGAGGGAGAAATGTAACTCACTACGGTCGGAAGATATTCCCATTGCCAGGTTAGAAGAATATCACGTTATTATTTACAACAAACATACAGGACGGTTTTCTCGACTCATTCGAAAACCGCCATATTTCACAGAGCAATACTCCCTCAGTACTGCAAGGGAGAGGCTGTCTGGATTATTGTCCAGGCCTCGATGTCCTGACCTGACTCAGAAGTAAGAGAGCCCCCATTGAACCACAACTGACACGCTTGCCTTCATTGGTCAATGCATTGAGCACCGAAGTTGGGACGTCATGCTATGGTTGTACAGGACATTAGTTAGGTCACTTTTACATTTCTGGTCGCCTTGCTATAGGAAGGATGTTGTTAAACTTAAAAGGGTACAGAAAAATTTTGCAACAATGTTACCGAAACTGGGAGGGGGGAAGCTTTGAGTTATAGGGAGAGGTTCAATAGGCTGGGGCTTTTTCTTCCCCTGGAGTGTCAGAGACTGAAGGGTGGTGTTATAGATATTTACAAAATCATGAGAGGGATGGATAGGGGAGTCCAAAAGGAGCTGAGCTTCTAAAGCTTGTGTTTTCAAATAAACCTGTTGGACTGTATCCTGGTGTCGTGTGATTTTTGACCAAAACTACAGGGCACAGGTATAAGGTGAGACAGAAATGAATTAAAAGGGATCGGGGGGTCAAGTTTTTCACACAGAGTGTAGTGCGTGTGCGGAACGAGCTGACAGAGCAAGTGCTGGAGTTGGGTATAATTATTACATTTAAGGGGCATCTGGATGGGTACATAAATAGGAAGAGTTTAGAGGGATGTTTGTCTGTCTTAAATTCCATCCAGTCTTATGGTCACGCATTGTGACGGTCAGCTCCTTGTTCCAAAAATACCAAGAGATCAGAGCGAGTTCTCTCTGCGTTCCTCGGTGTTCTAACCTGGATTCTCCTTCAACATTTTAAGTTTAATATTCCTCACCGCGAAAACTTCGACAGGTCAAAAACAGATTCAAACAACGATTTTGTGAGTACTTTAGTGACAATCAACACGCGCGAAATCATTGAACTGAAGAGAGATCGCCAGCGCAGTAAGATTGAAACTGAAAGCAGTTTGAATCCGGAAGTGCTGAGTGCGAGAATGGCTTCCATACAGCAGCTCCAGAGCTTGGCCGAGGAGACAATTTGTCCCATTTGCCTGGATTTCTTCACCGATCCAGTTACACTGGATTGTGGTCATAATTTTTGCTGCTGTTGTATATTTTCCTGCTGGGAAAAGAACCAGGTAAACTCCTGCCCGGAATGCAGGGGCGTGTTTACGGAAAGAAGTCTCGGCATAAACTGGGCCTTAGCGAAACTGGCCGAGGGGGCTCGAAAATTAAAACTAGATTCGAAAGAGAAAGTAATATGTGTCAAACATCAGGAAGATCTAAAGCTGTTTTGTGAAAATGATAAGAAATTGATCTGTCTTATTTGTCGAGATTCGCGGGAACACAGAGAGCACCGCTTCCGACCGATCAATGAAGCTGTTGAAATCTATAAGGTAAAAAGAGAAACATGTTGTAGGCTGAGTGTTCATCTCAGTTTCACGGTCTGACGCTTTAATTGTGTCATTTGCGCTCCCAATCCCAGGATCAGCTGAAATCCTCCATACATTCTCTCACAGAGAAGAAATCGGCGGTTTTAGAGGCAGAACAGAAACAGAACCGGAAGATTTCTGGAGTGAGGGTGAGATCTCCCTGTGCTGATTCTCTGGGATCTCGGTTAGTTTTGTTCCCTTTATCGCGGGACATTAATGATGTTTCACATTTCATTTGGTAGGAACAGGCGAGCAGTCTGCAGACCCGCATCACATCCGAGTTCGCTAAAATGCACCAGATTCTCACTGAGAAAGAGCAGCGTTTACTCCGAGATCTCAGGGAAGAAGAGGAGAGGGTTATGGAACCAATGGAGAAAAACCGTCAAGAGATTCAGGAAAATTTAAATTCTATTGAGGAAAATCTCTCAATACTGCAGAAACAGATGGAGCAAAAAGACGATCTGATATTTCTGCAGGTGAGAGAATATGTGATCAGTCCAGTGAATTTTCAGCCATGATCACCCATTTTAAACGATATAAAGCTGAAGCTGATGAATAAATATACTCCTCGTCTACTGTAGGGAAGCATTAAGTTGTACCCTGGCACACTGTACCTGCACAAATCAAGTTTTGAGAACACAGCAGGATATGCAAGTAAATCTGGGCATCTCATCGTCTTCTGATAGCTCAACAGGTTAAGAAAAATATACATTTATATAGCAGATGATTCAATCTCACGGGAGATTCCAAAACATGTTAAAATAACTCATAACAGTTAAATAAGTGTGGCATAACATAAATAAAGAAGCTGAATTAAATTAAGTTTGTAACTAGACAATTCGGCTGCTTTCACTGGTCCCACGCTGTTTGCAGATTATCAGGAGTACCGGCAAACAGTTCTGACCCTGATACTTACTTTGCTGATATCTCTAAATTCCCCACGTTTAATAACCTCTTGGAATTCCCATTGTAATCCAGATACAGTTCCATGTGGAGAAAGTGTATGTGTGTCTGAGTGGGAGTCTGAGATCACTGTGTTTGTGAGTGGGACTGATGGTCAGTCCCATTTATTTTAGCTCTCCTCAGTCTTCCAAAATACATGACTTTACACTTCCGTGTTGTGTCTGCTCATTTCAGCAGCCTGTTTCCTCCTGAAATCTGTTACTGTTATCCTCACTATTTATGACTCATTTTTTTTTCCACAGAAAGCTTGCCAGGAGATAAGGTAGGACATGATTTTTGCTGAAATTCTGCACGGTTTGTTCAATAACTCAGGAGCGTGTTATTATGAGTTTACTTCCTGGTTATTTTCGCCGCTTTAAAAGGTCGGTTATCCAGCGACAGTAACTCGGTTTATGGTTCACATACGAGTATAATGTATGTTTGAAACAGTATTAGATTTTATAAAACAGTTCTGCAATATTGTAATCAAAGACAAGGTGCCTGTAAATAATACAACCTAGTTCTCAGGCTGGAAGTGATCACTGACCTAATTTGGACTATTTGTGTCACTGTGACTTTCGCCCTGATTCTGAGACACAAGGCCCATATTTTCAGGAAAACATGGCCACTTCTCCCCGTCACTGACTACCCGGTTACAGTCATAGTTTAAAGATGATTTTTTTTTATTCTTTACAACACTAACTCATACCGTAACCGAATAACCACAACAACACAATCTTCTTTTTATATAGCACATTTTAAGTAACGTACAGACCCAAGGCATTTGACAGCAACATAAGATAGCGAAACATAACACCGAGAGATTAATATAGCTGACTAGCTTAAGACATTTTATGGAAGAAAATAGAAATAGCGAGACGAAAAGATTTAGGAAGGGAATTCCAAAGCTGAAAGCCTCAGCAGCAGAAGGGCGCATGCCCCGCCCCCCACCGCAACCACACACACACCGACACACACACACACACAACGAAGAGACTAAAATCAACGATGTTCAAGAGGCTGGAAGTAGAGGAGCGGGATTCTGGAGGGTTGTGGGGCCCATCTATTACACAGTTTGACGTGAGATCTTTAGATGTTGTGTGTCTTTGTTCCATAAAGCTCTGTTTATAGTACAGCAAGGACATGGGGGAATGTTTATGATCTCCTGTGTTGCATGATGTCTTAGTAACTAAAGTTTATCTGGTTATGATGCCTTTTTCTTGACCTGTGGGTTTCTTATCCTTGTCCTTGCATTCTCAAGTTATATTTTGCATTGTTATAGAAGCAAGATTAATATTTCACTTTTAATCACATTTGCTCGAGCATAAATGTACTAAAAGTTTGACCATTTAAATCATTTCTGAAAAATCCTAACATAGTGGAATTTATACCATGGATTTGTTTATTAACTGCAGGATTAACAACGATCATCAGGATCTATCAATAGCAGAATTCATCCTGTCTATTGGACAGTTCACTGGCCCGTTACAGTACACAGTCTGGAGAGAAATGATACACACCATTCACCCAGGTAAACATGTGTATTCATTTTCCTGATGATAAATCCAGTTGTGAAGGGATTAGGTGAGCTCCAAGACCCAGTTTATATATTCACATTTCTAGTTGTCAATCCCAGTAGAATCTCCCTTTTCATATTTTCCTTTCTGTGTGTACATCAGGGTCAGTATCTGAAGCCATCAATTTTGTGTGTTAGAGCAGTGAAGGATCACTCTAACAAATGGTAGACAAAAACTGAATTTTTAAATGACAGAGGATTATCTCTATCTGGACATACTTTTGGATGACAGGTTCCTGTATTTATCAGAAAGACACAGTGTTAACAGATACCTAATTGTTGGGTAGAATTCCTCAATTTAATGGAGCAAAAGTAAAAGAAGCAGTGTTGCATTGGATAAAGGAGTGAGTGTGGTGACTTAATTGAAGTATTCACAGTTTAAAACTGTAGAGATGAAAATATCCATAGGTTGAACATGTATTTTACAAAGTAGAGATCTCCATAAACTCTCGGATGGGAGAGTGATTTGGCAGTTTAAATATGGTGCAGCTGATGTTTTGAGTGATGCATTGATGGAGCCTTGAGCCCACTGACCACTCTATGAATTTGATCAGATGCCCCATTCAGTCCGAGGGTTCTGCATCAGTTCAATATTCCCAAACCATTTTCCACTTGAGGGAGTGAACTGTGGGAAGATGCCGCGTGGTACTATTGTCCAAGCCCTTTGGGAACCATCAGACACTTCGACCAATAGGTTACAAATGAATTTACCCAGGTATCCCACATTAATGGAACAGTCAAATCACTACAGATGCAAGTTGACACCAATACAGAGATAGTACAAACTGCAGATGCTGGAGACAGAGATAACACAGTGTGGAGCTGGAGGAACACAGTAGGCCAGGCAGCATCGGAGGAGCAGGAAAGTTGATGTTTCATGTCACCAATACAAACTCTCACAACTTTATTAAGGAGCAAGTAACAGGAAGACTTTAATGCTGTCAATACTATTCCTAATCCTGACCCCAAAGTCTCTTATAACTTTAGTTGGGTTGGCAAAATTGTTCTCTATATCTCTCACCCCAGACGGTCAGTCAGACTTTGCCTCTGCCACACCGGTCACTTCGTTTTCATCTCCAGCAGATCTAAGATATCTATCTGCAGGAAAGCCTACTTATACATTTCTGGAACTTTCTATAGTTCTAGCCAATCAGGGAGACTTGCCTAATGGTTCAAAATATTGTCAATTGGTTTAAAACTATTATTGGAATGGCTTGCTGATGTTTGTTTCTTTGTGTAGCAGGGCCTTGGGTGCCTTTCTATCTGGTTTTTGGTTGAAAATAAAGGTCTTCCTTTGTTTGGTTGACACGTTGTTGGGGATATATCTATCCAGATTAAATGTTGACCAGATATGTCCTTTTACACCATGCTGATATCATTAGTACCTGGCTGCTGTGTTTGCACTGTACCTGTTTCCTGGTTTTGCAATTTGCCGAGCTTGCCCAACATGTCCCATACTAGCACCCCTTGCTGTTTGGCCAAGTTGGCAATCTATTTTTTTTTAACAGCCAGGATGCTGTTACATTTCACTCTTTTTGAATGGAAAAAAAAACTCATGCAAATGTAATTCAAACCTAATTGTATAAGCAAAAATAGAAACTGCTGGAAAAACTCAGCAGGTCTGGCAGCATCTGAGTTAATGTTTCAGGTCCAGTGACCTTTCTTCAGAACTGTTTCTGATTTCCACCATCAGCAGTTCTTTCAGGTTTTTTTGCCAATTGTAGAAGTTTGGTTTTAGTCATTGTCAGGAAGAAGAGACTGCATATCATTGTGAAAGCTTGTGCACACATTGGTTAAGCCTACTTAAGTGATCTGGTTACATGTGCAGATTAAGACAAAATAAATCTGTCGCGACAACTCATACAGAATTTGTTAGACTCAAATTCATAGACATAAAGAATCCTGCCTTACAATATACAAAATCGTTAACAGCAATAGAGGCAAGGGTAGTGAAAATAACCCTGGGAGTTCCTCCTATCCTACAGAGCAAGAGTGTGTCCATATTTCAGGATGTCTCTCTTACAGTTAGCAATCTTAACTGCCAGACCAGTCAGACGCACCAAAGTAAATGGAATTAGGTCTCCAGCCAAATGTGAAAGGAGACAAATTCAAGGATGAAAGTGCACGCTTGAGCCCTAATTCCAAAAGTCATGCTACCAGCTGGTGGGTTTAATCCTCCTTGGACTAGAGGTATTCTGTTAATCGAGTTTTGTATTTTGTACTTGTGGCACTGTGGTCTGTCCCTAGGTAGGGAGACCAGTTGGGGGCACAGTGTACCATTCTAAAGGAAGGCGGCATCAGATTCCTTTAAGCTAATTCATTTATGTGATTGCCCCTGTGATCCTCAACTCATAAACCACAGCCTCTTTTTCTGATCCCATTCTTAACCATGGAGGACCCATCAGTGAAAACCTTCAGTGGGTATTTCAATCCCTGTCTGGTTGCCCTCCCTTAAATTAGGATAGAAATGGTCCTTTGGGGTTGCTGTAGCTATAATTCGGCACTGGATTGCCACAGTGGTTGAGGCTGTCTGCTAAAATGTTGGGTACTCAGAAAAAGAGGCTGTGGTTTATAAGTTGAGGATCACAGGGGCAATCACATAAATGTAATTGTGAATTAAGTAAGTAACAGATTACCAAAAAAGAACTTGTTATGCATTATGACCTTGTAATGACTATATAACATGCCTTTGTAAACATTAAAAATATTTAATGTGAGGAGAGGGTATGGCTATGTCTGACTGTTACTCGATTGGTGTTTTGCATTTTTTGTTGCTTTTGGCACAAGTCCCAGATGTTAATGGGAAGCAATTTACAAGTGGCAGGTGTGCCTTTGGCATTTCTGATGCCAATGTCAATCTGTGTTCAATCCAGTTTTAGTTTTATTCACCTTTTCTATCACAGTTTGGCAACTGAATGTTTTACTCTACAATTGCAGATGACAGTTAGTAGTTAAGTACATTGTGATGGGTCTTGACTACACCAGATTTCAATAGAATCTTCATCAAGTTATATAAAATATACAATTCTGCTTGTTTTGTCACACTGCCTCTTTTCAATTTTACCTCCTATCATCATTGGCTGCTCTGTCATAGAATCATAGAATCCCAGTATTGTGGGAGTAGGTCATTTGGCCCATCAAGCCCACACCAACCCTCTAAAGAGCATCCCACCCAGACCCAGCCCCCTACACATATCCCTGCATTTCCCATGGCTAATCCACCCAACCTACATATCTGTGGACACTATAGGCAATTTAGCATGGCCAATCCACCTAATCTGCACATCTTTGGACTGTGGGAGAAAACCCATGCAGACAAATTCCACACAGATAGTCACTCAAGGGTGAAATTGAATATAGGTCCCTGGTGCTGTGTGGTAGCCGTGCTAACCATTGAGCCACCATGTGAAGATAAATCAGAGTTAACGTTTCGAAGGAAGGGTCACCGGACCCAAAACATTAACTCTGATTTCTCTTCATAGATGCTGCCAGACATGCTGAGTTTTTCCAGCAACTTCTGTTTTTGTTCCCAGTTGTATTTTATTGGTTTTTGGATTTGCCTCCCCTAATATTCCCCCAGTTTCACTGCCCTTTTCCATCACCTTCATCTCTCCCACTTGTTTCCCACCCCTTCACTATCCCCTCTCCCCTATCTCCAACAGGGCCTCCCACCACTGTCACCCTCCGATACTTACCAAACTCCCTTCGCTATTGCACTCTCCTCACTGTCCTTCCTCCCCTGCACTTTATGTTCTCCTCCACCTCACTGATCCATCCATTTTGGATTTGGATGTGAATATAGTAGGCATGGTTAGTAAATTTGCTGTTGACACAAAATTGCACAATGAAGAACGTTACCTCAGGGTACAATGGGACCCTTGATATGGGTGAATGGGCCAAGGAGTGTCAGATGGAACTTAATTTAGATAAATGTGAAGTGCTGCATTTTGGTAAGGCAAATTAGGGCAGGACTTATACACCTAATGGTAAAGTCCTGGGGATTGTTGCCGCACAAAGAGCACTTGGAATATGGGCTCATAGTTCCTTGAAAGTGGAGTCACACGTGGACAGAGTAGTGAAAAAGACATTTGGTACGCTTGCCTTTATTGGTCAGTCCATTGATTATAGGAGTTGGGAGATCATGTTGCAGCTGTACACGACATTGGTTAAGCCACTTTTGGGATACTGTGTTCATTTTCAGTCTCCCTGCTATAGGAAAGATGTGAATCTTGAAAGGGTTTAGGAAAAATTTACAAGGATGTTGCCAGGGTTGGAGCATTTGAGCTATAGGGAGACGCTGAATAGGCTCAACCTGTTTTCCCTGGAGCATCGGAGGCTGAGGGGTGACTTTATAGAAGTTCATAAAATCATGAAGGGCATGTATAGGGTGAATAGTCAAGGTCTTTTCTCCAGGGCAGGGGAGTCCAAAACTAAAGGGTATAGGTTTAAATTGAGAGGCCTAAGATTTAAAAGGGACCTAGAGGCAAAATTTTTCACACAGAGGGTGGTGTGTGTATGGAATGAGCTGCTCGAGGAAATGGTGGAGGCTGTTACAATTACAACATTTAAAAGGCATCTGGATGGGTATATGAAAAGGAAGGGTTTAGAGGGATATGGGCCAAATGCTGGCAAATGGGACTAGATTAATTTAGGATATCTAGCTGACATTAATGAGTTGGACCAAAGGATTTGCTTCCATGTTGTACAGCTCTATGACTCTACTTCATTCACCCCTGCACCTCACTCTCTAATGCCTCTTTCCCATCACTCCACTTCTCTCTTATGTTCTCCAACCTTCCTTCCACATCACTACCATAGAGCCCTTCCTATTCTGCCTCTCTCCTTCACTCTCCCAGATCATTTTCCCTTACTACACCAGCTCCTTCCCTTCACTATCCCAGCCCATTCCCCTCACGATCCCTTCCATCTCATCTCACTTTCCCCTCCTTCACTCTTCCTCCAGCCCAGCTTCCTGTTCCAGTCACTCTCCTTTTACCTCTGCCTCCCAATACCCTGATTGACCTCAAACATTTTGCCTCCTATAAACATCACTCTCCCCTCCCCATTCCACAAAATGCTCCCTCTCTTCAAACCATGTGCCCTTCTTTCCAAAATCCCACTCCTACTGTCCCTCTGACTCCAAAATCACCTCCTTTATTCCTCTGAGCTGCTGATCCAGATCACGCTCCCTTTATCTACCCACTCAGTTCCCCTGCCCATCACTCCCCCTGCCTCTCACTACCACCCCCCCAACCCCTCTTCAGACCACTCCTCTCCAGTCCAGATTCCAATCCTAGCTATTCCTCTCCTCCTGTGCACCCTGACCCCTTCTCTAACTTTGCTCTCCTGGCAGACTCTACTTTCCATTGTCTCGCTATTTCCTATCCTTTCACCTTCACACTTTCCTTGTGTTACTTTCATCTTCACCCTCACTCTCCCTTCTTTTTACCTTTTCATTTCAACTTCATACTCATATCCTCTCACCTCAACTCCACTCTCCCCCCACTGCAATTGCAACAAGGCCTCATTTACCTCACCCCTCAGTCTTCACTCCCTTCCCTCCCCTTTCCCCATTCACTTGCTCACCCTTCCTCCTTGCATCTCCCAATCCCACTCACTCTCCCCTGCCCCCACCATCTCATCTTCTAATTCACTCATCTCCTCCACAATATTAAAGTCCCTCATTTCTCAGTTGCCTAACTCTCTTCTAGCCTTCACTCTTCCCCCTGCAATCCTCATTGCTTCACTCTCTCACCCTTATCGCCCAGTCCCCCTTACTTTGCTCATTCACTCACTCTCCTCTGTCTCAATCTCTCTTTCCCTCATGGACCTTCAAACGCTCTCCTCTCTCCTTCCATCCTCTTCTCATTCCCTCCCTTTGCCCTTACCTTCCTCTCTCCCCTTCCCCTCTCCCTTTCCTCCCCTTCTCCTTCCCCACCCTCTTCCTACTCTACCATCCTGCTGGCTCTCACACCTTCTTGGCTCTCTCCCATTTCCCTGTCCACTCTTCATCTCCCGACACCCCTAAATTGTTCCCCCTCACAATCTCCCACCTTTTACTGTATCTTAAGTCCCATTCTGCCCTCAGTTTCTCAGGCCAACTCCCACCCTCTCCTCTCCCCCTGTTACTGAGGAAATAGGAACAGGTGTTGGCTATTCAAGTCATCAACGCTGCTCCACCTTTCAATGAGATTATGATTAATCATTTAGTTCAAAATCATACTCCCAGACTCCCATGCATTTCCACACCTTTAACCTTAAGAATATATTTCTTTCTTGAGCATATTCAGTGGCTTGGCCACCACTGCCTTATGTGGTAGCGAATTCCATAAGTTCACCATATTCTCAGTGAAGACATTTCTCCTAATCTCAGTCCCCTTATCCAAAGTTTGTGACTCTTTTTCTGAGAGCCCTAAGCCATTGGAAACGTTATCCCTGCTTCCAGTCTGTCTAGCTCTGTCAGAATTTTATGCATGAGATCCCCTCTCATTCTCCTGATCTCAAGTGAGTATAGACCAAACCGACCAAATCACTCCTGATGCAAAATAACCTTCATCTCAGGAATCAGTCTGCTGAACCTTTGATGTACTCCTAATATGGAAAGTAAAAGTTTTAAGAGGTAAGGAGACCATAATCGTGCACATATCCCAGGTGTGGACTCTGTAAACTGCTGTAAGACGTTGTTCCTGTACTCAAACCCTCTTGCACTGAAAGTCATCATACTACTTGTTTTCCTAACTGCTCTCTGAACCTGCAAGCTTACTGTCAGTGACCAGTATGCAAGGACATTCAGGTTCCTATATATATCAGTATTTGAATAATAATTTACTTTTCCATTTCTCCTACTGAAATGGATAACAACACACATTACCACATTATGCTGCAGCTGCCACACATTTGCAAATTCACTCAACTAGTCTAAATCCACTTGAAGCGGGCCCATAACTGAGACCCTAGAGCCATTACTGAGACCCCGACTGAAGTCAAGCAGCATCTGGAGGAGCAGTGGAGAGTAACTCTATTGCAGTATAATCTTGCATTATATTCAGTGTTTCAAGTTGCCACCAGAATGTGGTAACACTTTAACACTTGAAAAGCACGTTTCACTGTATTTTTATATTCATGTGACAGTACATCTAAACATTACTGACTCTATCCCTATCCACAATCCTCTCCCCACAAAACATTATTTACTGTACAATCCTCTGCCCCACAATCCTCAACCCACACAATACTCTTGCTCACTGTCCTGTCCCCCACAGTCCCATCCCTTCTGGCATAATTTCTCCCCTCCACAACTATGTCCCCAGCACAATCCCCTCTCCCATTTTCCACTCCTCACCTCCCACAATTCACTACCCTGCCTCATCCCTTTCCCATTCAATCCCCATCCCCACAATTCCACCCTGAATACATAGTTCTCTCCCTCACACTGCCCAAAACCTACTCTTCATAATTCCCTCACGCTCTGTCGTATTCCCTCCCCATTATCATCTTCACTGCTGTCGCCTCTGCGCCCCTCCCCACCACAGTCCCCTTCCTTTCTTCACTATCAGCCCCTCAAACCCCTTCCCCACTGTCCCTTCACTCATAATTCCTTCTCCTCACGCATTATCCACTCTACCACTATCCCCTACCCTGTCTCCCGAGGACCACTTCTCTTCCATTCTACCATTACACTCTCCGCCACTGTACCTTCCGTCAAGTGCCCTAAATTCCACTAAAATCTCTTAATTTGCCTCCCCACAATCTCCTCTCCTACTCACTATTCCCCTGACCCACATCTTCTTCCCTCTGCAATAGTTCCAGCCCCTCTATTAACACCTTCCAAAGTCTTTACCGCACATTCCAAAGCCCTCTCTCTCACTCTCTCTCTCAAACACACACACACACACGCTCTTATTATAATACACCACTCAAGTTCCCCTCTTTAAACTACTAACGGTGTTACTTGATCTCTCACCCAGCTCCAGCCTCTCTGACTCTGGATCCAATCACAGCGAATCCCTGGCTCATCCTGTCTGAGGACCGGACCAGTGTGAGACTCGGAGACAAACGGCAGACGCTCCCTGACTCCCCGGAGAGATTTGATCCCTGGCCCTGTGTCCTGGGATCAGAGGGATTCACATCAGGGAGACATTACTGGGAAGTGGAGGTGGGGGAGAATAGTCGATGGGGTCTGGGAGTGGCCCGAGAGTCTGTGAAGAGGAAAGGGGGAATCAATCCGGAACTGGAGACCGGATTCTGTGCTGTATGGCTGATTTCCGTAAATTATTATTTGGCCACCACCTCCCCCTCATGGACCTCCCTCTTCCTGAATGTGACTCCCCGGAAGATCGGTATTTTCCTGGATTATGAGGGTGGACAGGTGTCATTTTACAATGCCGACAACATGTCCCATCTCCACACTTTCACCTACACTTTCACTGAGAAGCTCTTTCCCTTCTTCTGTCCAGGATGGAATATCGGCGGGAAAAACTCCGCCACTCTAACCACCTGCAAGATTAAAGGGCACTGACAGATCCATCCTATAATTTCACCTGGACCTCTGCCTCCTGCCAACTGTAAAATGATGGAGGTCGGTCTCATTCACAGGTAGAGAGAGAAGCCAGGTTAACGTTCTGCAAATAAACCTTATATCAGAACTGGGAGAGCTGAAAGTTCAGAAAGGAGCTGACAGAAAGAAGAAGGGGGAGACAAGCAACGAATAGAAGCTCAATTGTAGAGAGGGACATTCTGGGTGGACTGAGCTGTGAACTGCAGGAATCTGCGGACCTTCCTGCCTGTAATGTTAGTCCACAGGTGGAAGGTGGCGCTACATGATGGTGGAGAGGAATCAGTCAGTGGTTCGCAGACTGGGATCAGTGGAGTCACTCCAGGGGGATACTAAATCATTTTACTGCAGGGTCAGTGGTGTCTGGAATAACTCCATGGAGGGTGGTATCCTGTCACCAAATCACCCTTTATTTACACGTGCATAGTACTTGACACTGGTGCAGCCACCTCAAGTGAGCAAAGCCCCTTACACTCGTGTTTGCATCTGTCAGCCAGAGCTACCTGATTGGACCAGGTTAACGGCGCCAATCAGGGAACTCATATTCTCTGAGTTGCACCCGGCTGACCTCCGTCCAATCACTACAGTGTCTTTTCAGAGAGTCACTAAATCATTTCACTGCAGGGTAGGTGGAGTCTTCCCAAGCAGCCACCAAATCATTTCACTGCAGGGTTCGTTGGAGTCTTTCCAAGTCAACACTAAATTATTTTACTACAGGCTGTTGTCTGTCCTCCTGGGTGTTTCTATCTTTTCTTTAGCTGAAACTCATCTGTTGTTGGTTTATTTCTTGTCGTCACGATGAATTTGTCAGTTTAACTCACTTCAAGTCTCACACTGCTTTAATAACGTAGCAATTTTGCATGATCAAATTCAATTTGATAATGTAATATAAAATTGGGAGGGAAGGAAATTCACATCATTATGGCAGATTTTAATTTACATTGAAACAGGAACCTATCTTGACATTATTTGAAACATCACTTGGGGTTAGGTTGCTCAAAAGACATTACCTGGCAATCTGTCCCAGTGAATATGATTTGTGAACTGATTGGGTGTGTATGTCATTAACAGATAACGTTTAACCATGCACAAACAGTTCAGTTATTATACATCAGAATGTTAGCAAAGTCAAAGTTATGATTTAATTTTGTTTATTACTTTGTCTATCGCTGTCTACATCAGTAACATTGTCCTTAAAATCACAATATGTTACCTGTTTTTTAAATTATTAAAACATGCAGTACAAGAAAATTTTGTAATTATAATTATTATGAAGCATTCTAATTTATTTGGAGGCTGAAGTTGCTGCATGTTCATTAATCAATTTGAAATGGGATTGTTCAACAAAATTAGTCAGAGAACCAGGGCAATTGAGGCCATGTTCATCAAGACGTAATTGATATTTAATTAAATCCAAGAATCGTAAATTCAACACATTTGTTTTGTTTTATTTGATATCACCCCACTCTTGTATTTCTATACTGTACATTCCAAATTCATTTGTATGATTTTAAAAGAACCTGGTCAGATTAAGTGGAGTGATGGTTGCCTGGAACTGTTGCTAAAATTTACCCAGATGCATCAGCAAACATCACCTGGCCGGGACCAGAGACGAACGCTGGGAACACCAATCTCTTTCAAGTCGGAAGCAAAACAACACCCTAAAATCAGATGGAACAGAAGTTTGTCATTAGGTACTTTGTGGCTACAGAGGTGCCTTAGTAGGCTATTCAACTGGTCCCTGTACAGCGCTTTTCCCACTGATTTCCTCCACCCCTCAACCTTAAGTACCACACTCTACTTTGGAATATCCTTTACATTAAAGTGTTCACCATCACTTTAAAAAGTTATTATCGTATTTTTCCCTCCCCACACTGGGAGGCTGTACATTGTAGATCATAACTGGCTGTATGAAAATCCCCTACACTCTCCTCTGTTTCTTTTTCTAACTACCTTACATGCTGTTATTCTATTGGTGACCCTCTACCACTGGAGACAGTTTCTCCTTATTTAGTCTATCAAAACCCTTCATGCTTTTCAAATTCTCCATTAAACCTCCCATTTACCTTCCCTCTAGAGGTACCGACCATAACCTTCCATTTGCCCTCTGGAGGAGGACTGGAATGGTGGCTGTGAGGAGGAGGCAGAAAGGGAAAGAGATGGGATGGGGCCAGGGGGAATGAGAGAACTGGAGGATGAAGAGAAGGGTGAGAAAATACTGGACAGGAGTGACAAGCAGAAATGTAGGTGAATTGGGAAGAAGGAGGGAATTGGCGTTAAGGAGGAAGAAGAGTGTGAGAAGCAGTGGTAGGTGTATGATGAGAAATGGAAATGGAGGCATATGGAGGGGATGTTGTGAAAAAGGGGCAGAGAGTGAAGAGGGTACAAGGATTAGGTTGATAGTCAATGAGGTTGATGAATAAGGGTGAAGTTCAAGGAGCATTGAACTTGTTTTGTTTTGTTTTGTTTTATTTGATATCACCCCACTCTTGTATTTCTATACTGTACATTCCAAATTCATTTGTATGATTTTAAAAGAATCTGGTCAGATTAAGTGGAGTGATGGCTGCCTGGAACTGTTGCTAAAATTTACCCAGATGCATCAGCAAACATCACCTTGGGCCGGGACCAGAGATGAACGGACAGGAGTGACAAGCAGAGATGTAGGTGAATTGGGAAGAAGGAGGGAATTGGCGTTAAGGAGGAAGAAGAGTGTGAGAAGCAGTGGTCGGTGTATGATGAGAAATGGAAATGGAGGCATATGGAGGGGATGTTGTGAAAAAGGGGCAGAGAGTGAAGAGGGATCTCGGTTAGTTTTGTTCCCTTTATCGCGGGACATTTATGAAATTTCACATTTCACTTGGTAGGAACAGGCGAGCATATCACGTCCGAGTTCACTAAAATGCACCAGATTCTCACTGAGAAAGAGCAGCGTTTACTCAGAGATCTCAGGGAAGATATTTCCTCATTGCTTCTACAATCCTCTCCAACATCTGCAGTTCTTGTTTTTTTTTCGAAACGTAGCAGGCCTGGCAGCATCTGAAGGGGAAAAAAAGTGAACCCGGGGGAAAAAAGAGTGAACCCTTCGAGTTCTTTGTCAGATTTCTTTGGAGTTGAAGCGTTGGCTCTGGTTTTCTCTCGGCGAATGCTGGCAGGCATGCTGAATTTCTTCAGAACTTTCTGTTTTTGTTCCATATATCATAATGTCGGACATGAAGGCTTTTAGATATTTTCAGTCTTTGTCTTTGTTCCAAAGCTCTGTTTATACTATAGCAAGAGCACAGGGAAATGTTTATCTTCTCCTGCAGTATGTGATATCTTCGTAACTAATCTGTTATCAGGTCTATGACCTCTTGTCCTTGACCTGGGAGTTTCCCATCCCTGCCCTTGCATTTTCAAGATTAGTATTTCATTTTCAACTACATTTACTCAAACACAAAACAAACTCTTGATAGATTGGCCATTTAAATCATTTCTGAAGTATTCTAACAAAGTGGAATTTTAAACATCATTTGTTTAATGATTATAGCATTAGAGATGACTTCCAGAAACTCTCAGTAGCAGAATTCGTCCCGTCTATCAACAAGTTTACCGGTCCTTTATAGTATATATCGTGGAGAGACAAGATAGAATGGGTCTGGGAATGGCCCGAGAATCTGTGGAGAGGTAAAAGCAAATAGAACTGGAAGCAGAGATTGGATCCTGGGCTGTATGGCTGTTTCCCAGAAGAGGTTATTTAGCGGCCACCCCTCCGAGACGTATGACCCTCACTCGGACAGTGAATCCTCGGAAGATTGGGATTTTCCTGGACTATGAGGGTGGGCATGTGTTACTTTACAATGTGGACATGTCCCATCTCCACACTTTTACCCACACTTTCCCTGAGAAGATCTTTCCCATCTTCTACCCAGGATTAAGTGATGACCGGAAAAGTTCCGCCCCGCTGACAATCTGCAGGATTAAAGGGCACAGACAGATCCATCCCATAATTTCACCTCATCCCCCTGCCTCCTGCCAGCTGTAAACTGATGGGGCTTGGTTTTATTCACAGGTGGAGAGAGACACCAGGTTAATATTCCGGGAATAAACCTTGCATAGGTATTGGGAACTTACGTTTACACAACAAGAAACAAGAGCAGGCCACTCAGTCCTTGAAGCCTGCTGGACCATTTCAGAAAATTGTGGCTGAACTGATTCCCAGTTCAACTCTGCATTCTAATAATATTTTATCTCTTTGGTAAATAAGAATCTACCTTTGCCTTATAAATATTTAAAAATTCTGCATCCAGTGCCTTTTCAGACTGGGGATTGCAAAGACTCACAAGACTCAGAGAAAAAAAAATGTTTCCTCCTGTCTTATATCAGCACGCACTTATTCTCTGCCTTTTTATATTCATCCAAACTTCTGAGCTTCCCCCTACCTTTGCAGCATTATATGTCCTTTCTTTGAGTTGGAAACCATATTTGACATTTTATTTCAGTTAACCAGATGGCCAGTCTGTTCTTTAGAATTTCTCATTTTTGTTGGAATGTATATATTCCGTAATTTCTAGAATATCCTCTTAAGTGTTTGTCACTGCATCTTTATTGATCTATCCCTTAACCTAAACTGCCAGTTCATTTTTGCTAGATCTGCTTGTACATACGCATAATTGCCCATCTTCAAATACAAAATAGTACTCTTGAACCCCCACTTCTCTCACTTAGTATGTAAAGTTTAATTATATTGTGGTTGCTACTACCCAGGGCACTTTCACTATCTGGTCAGTAAATAATCATATCTCATTGGTCAAAACCAGGTCTAGTATAGCCAGCTCTCTGGTTGGTGCCATAATATGCTGGTTGAAGAAATTGTCCTGAAAACATTCATTGAATTCTTCCTCTGGACGTTTATTTCCCTTTTTTTTTCAGTCTATATATAGGTTAAAATCCCCCTTAATAATTGCTGGACTCTTTTGACAGACTCCCATTATTTCTTCCACAGTACCCTATCTGACCATATCCTTAATGTTAGGAGATCTGTACACAAGTTCCATAAGTAGCCTCTTGACTTTAACGTTCATTATTTCCACCCAAACTACTTTGATATCCTGGTTTCTTGAATTAAGGCCATTCCTCTTTATTGTGCTAATATCATCCTTCACTAACAGAGCCACTTCTCCTCTCTTATTTGACTACCTGTCCTTCTTAAATGACACATACCCTTCAATATTCAGGTACCAATGTTGGTCAACCATAACTGAGATGTGGCCGCAGGACACCATGTCATACTCATTTATGTCAATTTGTACTACTAACTCAACTATTTCAAAGCTTCATGTGTTCAAATACAATACCTTAGCTTTTGGCCTTTTAGTACTTTTGTGATCTCTTGTGGTATCTGTTGATTTTTTTAGATCTGCATTTTCCATTCCTATCATTTTCTGTTTATCATTTCCCACATTATTGCCTTCCTCTATTGCAATTTCCTTGCTCCTTGATTCATCACACCTTCCCAAAGGACCTTGCCCACAGTATTTACTTGAAAACCTGTTTGACTTCCCTAGTTATGCAATTTGCAAGAACATCAACTCCTGTACAGTTCAGGTATAGACCATCTCAGGAAAACTGTGTTCAGTTCTGGTCTCCCTGCTATAGGAAAGATGTCATGAAACTTGAAACGGTTCAGAAAAGATTTAAAAGGATATTGCCGGGATTGGAGGGTTTGGCCCATAGGGAGAGGCTGTTATTGGCTGGGGCTGTTTTCCCCAGAGCGTCAAAGACTGAAGAAGTTTATAAAATCATGAGGGATAGGGTAATTAGCCAAGACCTTTTCCGCAGGATAGGAGATTCCCAAACTAGAGGGCATAGGTTTAAGTTGAAAGGGGAAAGATTGAAAAGGGACCTCAATGGCCATGTTTTCAGGCAGAAGGTTGTACGTATATAGAATGAGCTGCCAGAGGAGGTGGTGGAGACTGGTACAATTACAATGTTTAAAAGGCACCTGGATGGGTACAGGAATAGGAAGAGTTCAGAGGGATATGGGCCAAATGTTGGCAGTTGGGACTAGATTAATTTAGGATATCTGGTCGGTATGGACAAGTTAGACTGAAGGGTCTGTTTCCGTGCTGTACATCTCTACAACTCTACAGACTCCACTTTCCCCAGTGTTGGTGTCAGTCTTCCATGCACCAGAACCCACTTCTCCTGCACCAGTTTTTCAGCCACTCATTCATCTCTCCAACCTTGTGTACCAAATGCCAAATTGCAAGTCGTTCAGGTAATAATCAGAGATCATTACCTTCGAGGTTTGGCTTTCTAGCTCGTCAGACTGGACATGTAGGCCGTTTTTCTTAGTTCTACCTATGGCATTGTAGTCCCCTCCTGCTGCAGCTTCTCCTTCAGCCAATAGATATTCCAAACACAGCCATCTGCACTCACGATCTTTGCTGCACAGAAATGAAAGCTCAGCAAGGATCTCCATAGGTCTGGGGATACAGGACAGGAAGAGAAGAAACAAACAGAAGCTCAATTGTAGACAGGGACCTACGGGATAGAATGAGCTGTCAACTGCAGGAACCCGGGGACCTTCCTGCCTGTGATGTTTTTCCACAGGCGGCAGGTGGCGCTACATGATAGCGTTGGAGATTAATCGGTCAGTGGTTGTCAGACTGCGCTCAGTGGAGTCTTTCCGGCGGGACACCAAATCGTTTCACTGTAGGGTCAGGGAGTCCTTCCAAAGTGACAGCAAATCATTGCAAGACAGAATGCTGCCTGTCCTGAGTGTTTTGATCATTTTCTGTTCATATCAATATCTTGCTTTTGACATCATGTTAAAGCTTTCGGTTTTTGCCATGGTTCATTAAAGTAACATCTTTGCACAATCACATCCAGTTCAGTTTGTCGGTCTTATGTAAATCAGCTTATTGCCCAGAATGTCACACATGCTGGTACTCTGAAATAAAACTGAGAGGGAAGGAAAATTGTGTGTTAATCCAGATTTTAGTTCACATTGAAACTGATTATTTAAACATCTATATGGGGTGAGACTGCTGCAAAGACTAATTTGACAAACTGTCGTGAATACGATGAACTGATCGGTTGTGTATGTCACAAACAGGTAATGGTTAACCACAGATAAACAATCCAGTTATTTTACACCACAATATTATTGGAGTCACAATTATCATTTTATCTCTGGTTTATTGGTCTGTCTTATCACTTTATACGTGAGTGAAACCATCTTAAAATCACAACCTCTATTATTCAAATTATTATTAAAACATACAGTACAAGAATCCGTTCCGACTTATAACTCCAATGCAACATTTAAAACTATTGTGTTGGAAGTGTTGCATGATCATGAAACCACTTGAAATGGGATGCTTCAATAAAAATAGTCAGACAACCAGAGGAATGGAGGTTGTGGTCATCAAATCTCCATTAATATCTTAACTGAATTCAACGAACTGAATCATGAACTCAACGCATCTTTGGTTTTTAAAACCAAGAGAACTGTAGATGCTGTAAATCAGAAGCAAAAACAGAAATCACTGGTAAAGCTCAGCAGGTCTGGCAGCATCAGTGGAGAGAAATCAGCATTAAAGTTTTGGGTGGAGTGACTCTTCGTCAGAACTGAGGAAAAGTCCCCAACCCAAAACGTTAACCCACATTTTTTTGTTTTATTTGGTATTACCCCACACTCTGTATTCCATTCATTCCAAATTCACCTGACTTATGTTATGAGTCTCTGGACAGATTAAATGTACTGATGATTGCCTAGAAATGTTACTATAATTCACTCTGATACAGCACTCAGTGCAAATTTGGTCAGGTCCTGATGTGAGCAGAGGTAACATCCTCCTGTTTCACTTATCTGTCCATCTGTCAAATCCACCTGTGTCCTTCTGTAACTTAAAACCTCACTGTCAAACAGCTGACCAATCTTCATGCTATCCACAACTTGTGTAACTTGCCCCCACATTCTCATCTACAATGTGTATATATATCACAAACAACCAAGGGACCAAGCACTGATGGTTGTAACCTCTGGACACCAGGCTTCTGTCATATAACTAGTCTTCTATCATCACACTCTGTCTCCTGTCACTAAGCCAATTTTCATTCCAACATGTCAAGCTACCCTGGATCCCATGTGCTTTTAGCTTCTGTATCAGTCTCCTATGTGAAACCTTGTCAAAGGCCTTACTAAATCCATATAAACTACACAAATGCACTGGCATCATCAACACAATTGGTCACCTCCTTGAAAAATTCAGAAAGATTTGTTTGGCATGTCCTCCTTCTGATAAAGCCATGCTGACTACCCACAATCAAACCTTGCCTGTCTAAATGGCAATTATATTTTTTCCTTCAGAAATATCTCCACAGGTTTTGAACTACTGATGTTAGATTCAGTGGCCAACTGAGTACTTCTTGCTCATTCACTTAACAAATCTACGTCCCCCTGTAGACACTGTGTCATCCTCAGCAACTGCCTTCCCACCTATTTTTGTGTCATGTGCAAACGTGGCTACAGTACATTCACTATTCTCATCCATGCCATTAATGTGTATTGTAAATAAATTTGGTACCAGCACCAGTCCCTGTGGCACACAACTAGTTACAGATCACCATTCTGAAAATGCTGTCTCTCCTCAATTCTCAGTCTTCTATTATTTAGCAAATCCTCTAACCATGCTGATACACTGCCTCCAAAACTATGGGTTTATTTAGTAGCCTAATGTATGGTACCCTGTCAAACATCACCTTGTAAATCCAAGAATATTGCCTCGTCTGCTTCACCTTTATCTATCCTGTTTGTGTCCGCCTCAACGAATTTTGTCAGGCAAGATTATCCTTTCATGATACCACAATGATGTTATTAGTATTTTTGAATGTTCTGACATTATCAAGGACGTAATAAACTAACAATTTTGGAATAACTGATGTCATGGTAACTGGTGTCATGGGCATATTTGGCTGTTTTTGTCCCCTTCCTGTTTTAAATAAAGGCGTTACACTGGCAATTTGTTTATCCTCCAGGGTTTTTCTAGAATCTAAGAATTTGTGGAAGATTACTATCAGTGCTCTTCAGAGAATTGGTGCAGACACTATGGGCCCAATGGGCATCTTGCCAAGATCATCCCTACACATCCACCTCTGACCTTCAAACAACCACTAAACCTTAAACAGACCATCATTCACGGCAAACTAGCCAGCCTTCAAGAATAGATCAACCACACAACCCTGCCATGGCAACCTCTGCAAGGCATGTCAGATCATCGACATGTGTACTACCATCACACATGGGAACACTACCCACCACGTACATGGCAGATACTCATATGACTCAGCCAATAATATCTATCTAATACTCTGCAGGCAAGGATGCCCCGAGGCATGGAATATTGGCGAAAATGTGCAGACTCTATGACAATTGATGAATGGACACTGCACAAAAATTGCCAGATAGGAATGTTTCCTCCCAGTCGAGGAACAATCCAGCGCTCAAGGACGCTCAAAGCAAGTGTTGTAAACTTGGAGCTCAGCTATCTGCTCTGAACTCATCTCGCTTTGTTTTTTTTTTAAAAAATTGGAACAAGAGAAGCAGCGTGAAGGGGTGGGGTCACACTCCCATAAAAGCAGGATTTTAGTCCTAGCTTTCAGCAGTTGCTACAGCCTTCTAACTGGATGTGGAAGCTGTTATTCCTCTTTCTGCTATAGTTAAATGCTAGGGTTCTCTTCCTGCTCCCGGAATTGCATTTTAATACCATCAATTTTACTGAATTTGCCTTTGCCAAGGTTGTGTTTGTGGGATGTTACTTTGTTGGAACATTTGCTGTTTAGTGGTTAAGTAACCTATTATTCTCTTAAGTTTTTCAATAGAGTTAGGTTATTCCATTTCTGCTTTCTATTGTCTATTTTTACACTATAGTTAACATACAAGGAGTGTTTTGTTTCAAGTCTAGTAGTTTGACAAACTGAATTGCATCCAGAACACAACACCTTACACTTGCCTTTAAGAACATGAAAAAAATCAGAGTGTGGGCTATTTTCTCAATATATTTTGAGGGGGTTTGGGTTTGGTCCATAACAAGATGATTTCAGTTATTGTCTTTGTTCCACAGGCTCTGTTTACAATACAACAACTGCACAAGTGATTTTATTTTTATCTGTTGTAGTGTGTGATGTTTTAGTAACTAATCTGTTATCATGACATGTTTCTAATCTTTGCCTTTGCATTTTGCTGTGTTATAAAACCAAGATTAAATTTCACTTTCAACATCATTTGCTTAAACACAAAAACTGCTGAAAGCTTGACTATTTCTGAAATACTCTAACAAAGTGGAATTTGTCACTTCAACTGTTTAATTATTACAGGATTAGTACTGAAGATAAAACCCCCTCAGTAGCAGAATTCTTCCTTAATATCAGAAAGTTCAAAGGTCCTTTACATTACACAGCATGGAGAGAAATGTTAGATGCCATTCACCCAGACAAAACCCATTAATTTTCAGATGGATTGTGATAATCTCATTGAAGTGTTCACGGTTCAAAACAGTAGAGAGGTAAACTTCCAATGATTGAACATAGTCATACATTATCCAGCAATATGGAGATATTCAAATTTTCATCATGGATGATGATAACACAGCTGGGACGAAGTGAGGCTCATATATCGACTGATCCCATTGATCAAGCAGTGAAATCACTGACTTCTCCATGTATTAAACACAATTCAATTGAATGGTCGGGTTTCCAATCTACACAGTTCCCCACATATTTGGAATGGAGTGTGGCAACGTGCCGCGCATCTCGAGGAAGATGACACATAGTCTGCCATTATTTCTGGGTAAACGGACGGAAGCTGTTGAGGTGGTACAGGCAGGAATATGGATGGCAGGAGAGAAGAAAAATGAGGGAGCAATGAGAAGCAGTGAGACTGATAAACTCACTTCCTAGTCACTGATAAATAATCACAAAAGAGAGTAGGAAAAAAATACACCTTTGAGTTAAATGCTGCCTAAGTGCCTACATCGTGGCAAAGAGCTTCTGAACCAGTGAAGTGTTTTTGAGAACTATTCCCGCTGTAATGTCAGAAATAAGCAAACCAACTTGTGTACACCATGGTCAGAGAAACAGGGTTGTCAAGGTGATGAAGTCACATGCTTCAAATACGTTAATTGTTGGATCAATGATGGGCAGGGCACCAAGTTAACAAATATCGTATACTGTTGCTGATGGGATTCCCAGTGGACCCTATGAGACACAAGAACGTAAAAATAACAGAAACAACAAGGAGCAGCGGTAGGCTTTTCAGTACCTTTAGACTGTTCTGCAATTCATCAGACTGTAGCCACAATGATCTGTCCACCACCTACTCCCACCATGTAACCCCATGATACTCAAGGATATGGAACAAGTGCAATTGGTATTAGTGCACATCTAGTGGTGTTATGTTGGTGCAGACTCAATGGTTTGAATAGTATTTTCTCCACTGCGTGAATATATGAATCTATGACTACTTGCACCAGTAGTCAAACCATTCTACATTCTTTTGTTGTGAATGGGGCTTGTACAATTCATGAACCATTCAATGGAAGATCATTGAGACCCCAGTACATCAAGTCTCCAGTTTATAAAATAAAGTTTTACCTTCTGTTTAAAGAAGAAATATTCAATATTTGCTCTGCCCCGCATTCTTTCTTCCTCCCAATCCTTCTCCCCTACAAAATTCCGAACTCCCTTTCTTTATCCCTAATAATTCCACAGCCCACATCCTCTGCATTCTCTGTAAGAAACCAAAAAGCAAATTTTATTTTCACTACAGTGCAGAAGGAAGCCACTTGGCCCTTCAAGTCTGCAGCAACCCTGCAAAGACCTCCAACCTTTCACAAATTTTCCCTCTCCCCTTCCTTCTCATTATCTCAACACACTCCCTTTCCTATTTTCACTCCAGCACATCTTGCACAATCCCTCCCTATGAATACACTCTCACATATTTCTCTCATCTGTCCAATTCATTCACTCTCTTTTCCCCCCTTCCCACTTAATTGCCTGCTCTCCCTATCCTTCTGTTATCTCGCTTTCTCCTGTGCCTTTCTCTGGTGGCCTGATTTCATTCCCCTCCACCTCACCAATTAACACTTCTTGCTCCTCTAGCCTCTTGCATTCTTGTCTATAGAATCTCATTCCCCATTTATTTCCCTCTGCTTTCTACACTCTCCGACTATCTCACACTCCTGATTCTCCCTTCTACCATTCTCCCATCCTCCTCCCCTTTCTGTTGCTGCCTCCCTTCAGGGTGGCCAACTCTGATGAATATAACTAAGGGATATTTCCTTGTGAAGGACAATAGTGAAACTGTGTGAGCGGGGAGTAAGTGTGGGAAGACCTGCAAACAATGGGAGAGGGAGCAAAAGTGCGACAATGGTTGAGGGGGACATAGCCACAAGACCACCCGTGGTCCTGATGCTGCCTCCTGCCAGCTCCTGAGGCCAGGAACCTGCTACACCCAAGCACAGAGACAGGCCCCATCTACACCCCAGCAATCAGGGACAAACCCACATCCTGGGAAGGTCTGAACCAGCACCAAGAACTAAATCCCAAATTACAGGACACCCCCAACACAGTTGATGTTCCCTCATACCTCCTCCCAAAAACTACGTAACACCTCGATCTTCTGACCTCCCCCTTGCCCTGCCACTCCATTGTTCAACGCTGCGTGTCATCCTCTCATCTTGTCTTAAACTCTCCTCCTCACTTTCTCCCCAATCTCTCCACTCATCGTACTCACTCTTGCTTCCCTCTCACCCATGTCTCTCCTTCTCTGTCCCCACACTCGCACTTCCATGCCTTTCTCTCTCTCTCCTGCGCTTCAATCTCCACTCCCTCTCAATCCTTCATTTCCACATCCCATCATTCATTCACCTTTCCGAACCTTCATCCCTTACTCTCCCTCTGCTTTACATTCCACTCTCCCTCACTCTTCCTCTGTCTCAGTCACCCCTTCTCCTCTTTCTCCACACTCACCCCACCCCCACCCACTCTCTAATCTCTCCTCCTTTATCTCCACTTGACTCTCCAATCCTGCTACATCTTCTATTAACTTTATTCTCTGGCCCATTTCTTCATTACTCCCCCTCTTGCTCATTCACAAACCCATCCCCTGTTTCACTCTCCAATTCTCCCCCTCTCCATCATTCCTAAAACTCTGTTTCTGCTGCCCTTGTATTCCACTTGTTGCATTCTAACATGAGATAGTATTATTCAAAAAGGGAGCAAGGAATAAACTAAAAACTTACAGACCTCAGTGGTGCGGAAATTATTGGAAGCATTTCTGAGGGACAGAATTAATCTGCATTTGAAGAGACAGGGATTAATCAAGAACAGTCAACATGGTTTTGTTAAGGGGAGTCATGCCTGACCAACTTTACTGAACTTTGCAAAGACATGACTACGTTTTTAGATGAAGCCAATACTTTTAATGTTATTGACTTAGACTGCAGCAAAGCTTTTGATAAGGTGCCCTATAGGAGTCAGCTAGCCCCCACCTTAAATCTATGACCCCGGCCATTGAGCCCTCCATCTAGGGGAATATTTCTTTCTATCTACCCTATTTATGCCCTTCGTAATTTTATGCATTTCAATCATGCTCCCTATCAATCCCCTCGGTCTGAAGAAGAAAAAGAGACTATCCAGTCTCTCTTCATTGCTAAAACACTCCAGCCCAGGCAACATCTTGGTAAATCTCCTCTGCAACCTCTCTAGTGCAAACACATCCCACCTATATTGTGGATTCCAGAACTGCACATAATAACCTAGCTGTGGCCTAGCCAACTTTTCACACGCTTCCAGCATCACCTCTCTGCTCTTAAACTTTATGCTTAAGCTAATAAAGGCAACTATACAATATGCTTTCTTAATCACATTATCTACCAGTCTGAAACTTGAAACTTGGACATGCACACCAAGGTCTCTCTGATACTCAGTGCTTCCCAAGGTCCTACTGTTCTCTATGTATTCTCTTGCTATAAAGACAGGATGGATACACTTTTTTTTTCCTTTAAAGCAGAGGAGATTGATAGGACCAGGCCGAGTAAACACCTCAGGATTCAGCTCCAAGTCCCTCTCCCAAAACTGCAGGGGTCCTAACTCAGCCAACTGGTTTGCTAACACAGTGAACCCATCATTAAATGACTATTCCAGGACATGGAATGTTTTCTCAACCAAAGTATCCTCTTCTTTCCTGAACATTGAGAAGAAATTTCTTCACCCAGAACTCATTGCCATAGTCGGCTGTGGAGACCAAATCATTGAGTATATTTAAGACAGAAATAAGTAGGTTTGTAATTGGTAAGGGGAATCAAGGGTTACATGGAGAAGGCAAAAGAACGGAGCTGAGAGACACATCAGCCACGACTAATTGGTGGAACAGACTCAATGGGCCAAATGGCCTAATTTTGCTCCTATATCTTATGGTTTTAAGAAGGTAGATATATTTCTTGTAGATATCAAGGGATATGGGAAAGGGCAGGATGAGAGTATTGAGCTTGATGATCATCCATGATAGATTCTCCAGCATCAGCAGTTCCTACTGAGTTCATTCCAGACCCCTGTCACTTTCTAGGTGAATTGATTTTTCTCAAGTCTCAACTAAACCTCCTGCTTTCACTATAAAAGTGTGCTCTCTTATTATTGAGCCTTCAGCTAAGGGGAGCAGCTGTTTTCTCTCTGCCCTGTCCATGCACATCCTAATTTATATGACTTGATCAGGTCGCCGTTCAACCTCTCTGCTCCGCAAAAACCAGAGCCTTTTCAGCCTCTCTTCATTTCTAAGATGCTCTATGCCAGGCAACATTCCCCATTCAGCAGGCCTAGTGGCATTAATTCAGTGACACAAGTAATGTTCTGGGCACCCAGTTTCAAATCCCAACATAAAAAATGGTGGAATTTGAATTCAATTAAAAAACATTTGGAATGAAGAGTATAATGATGACCATGAATCCATTGTCAATTGTCAGAAAAAAACCATCTGGTTCATTGATGTCTTTTAGGGAAGGAAACAGCCATCCTTACCCAGTCTGGCATACATGTCTCAGACCCATAGGAATGTGGTTGACTCTTAACTGTCTCTGGGCAATTAGGGATGGGCAATAAATGCTGGCTTAGCCAACAACACCCTCATCCTATGAATAAATAAAAGTATTTCCCCCTCTTCCCTTCACACTCCTAGTCACTCATTCTCTCACCTATTCTTTATCTCTCTCCCTGTTTCGCTAAATCTCCCTTGCACATCTTCATTCACCATTTCCACTCTCCCAATCCTGCTTTCATTCCATCACTTTGTGGACAATCTCTCCCCTCTCACATACTTCTCACCCCTTCACCTTTTCGCTCACTCCTTCTGTTTCACTCTCGCTTCCGCTCAATCTCCTCCCATATCAACCCTTCTGCTCTCCTCTCCTCCATTTCTCACTTCTACCCCCTCACTCTTTGTGCTTCCAACTTCCCTCTCCTTTCAATGCTCTCTCTCTGTCTGTCTCCCACTCTTGCCCCCTTTCAGCAATTCTCCCATTCCCTCCCCTTCTTTCTGCTGTCTTCCCGCAGAGTGACCAACTCTGGTTGAAAGGACAAAGGACATTTCCACAAGGGGGGGCAATGGTGAAACTATGTGAGCTGGGTGTAGATGAACCTGTGAGAATTGGGAAGAAGTAGAAGAATGAGAATGGATGAGGGGGCACAGTCCTGATGCTGCTGCCTATCAGCTCCAGCCACCAGACTTTTGAGGGCAGGAATGTGCTGCACCTGAGCACAGAGATGGGCCCCGTCAACGCACCAGCAATCAGAGACAAAACACATCGTAGGGCGGTCTGGACCTCTCTAATGAAGAAATTCTAAAATTTGCTGCAGTCCCAGAAAATTCTGCATGATTAGTTCCCCTCACACTTCCTCCCCAAAATCCGCATACTCTTCAACCTCCCCACGTCCCAATGCATGCCTATCTCTATCACTCACCACTATTACTCATCCTCAATCACATTTTGAACTCTCCTCCCCGTCTCTCGCCACCTTCACAACCTTCCAAATCTCCCGAATCATCTACTCACTCTTGCTTCTCCCACAGTCGTGTCTCTCAGTCTCTGTTCCTCTCTCATTCTCTCCTACTCTTCACACTCCCCTTCCCCTCAATTCCTCATTCCTCTGTTTCACCACTCCCCCTTACCCTCACCCTCCCTCTCCTTCACTTATCCCTCCATCTCACTGTTTAGATTTTCCTCCCATCACTGTCTCTCCAACTGACTCTCCAATGTTCCTACAACTTCCCTCCACATTAATTTGCAATCCCATTTATCCTTACTCATACTCTCAGCCATTCACACAATCCTATTCCCTCTGCTTCATTCCCAATCATCCACTTCCCATCACTTCTCCAAACACTTTGATTCCTCTGCCCTTGTTGTACTCCTCTTATTGTGTCATGTTATAGATTCTGATAGGTCTGTACCTTTAAGACAGTTACATGACACCACAAATGTGGCATTTCAGTCCAAGAGTACCTGCCTCATGTGCAGTCACTCTCATTGTAATGGAGCTAGTTTAGTATCTTCAGCCAGTCATCTCTACGTATGTAATGTACAGTAACATCAGTAAACACAGAACATAGATGATGTGTGTAAGTCTGTGATAGCACTGCCTTGTGGACACTTTTTCAAAATACACTTCAAGACATCTGTCTCACAACCTAATTCTTTTTGGTATATGTTATACAGGGTTACATATACAAAAAGACAAACAGGACTATGGTGTCAGCAAGTGGGCACCAAAAGCTGGTCATGACAGCTAGTTACTAGCAATGAGTGGACCACTATGCCCACGTTACTTTTGTGCCAGACAAGAATGAATAACTGTTTCCAGTACTCGCGCTCATTAAAAGTTCACACAGCCAAACCATCTTCATCCCTTTAAGTAACGTTCTCCAGCTTTCCAAAGTGAGCTCACTCCTCATACTAGATTAGTTTCCATTATTTATTTTCAATATGAATTTCATTTTATAAACCCACTTTAACTTATCCTGTAAATGATTTCCAAATGTTTTGTTTTTTATGACAGACGCTTGCATTTTCTACATGGCTGATGTTAGGATCAGCCATTGTCTTACCAAATAGTGGAGCAGGCTTAACATCCCAAAATTTTACATTTGTTCTTATTTCCTACATTCATATGAGAGTGCTTTTGTGTCCCATAAATTTTACCAGCACTTCTTTTTTAAAACTCATACTATGATTCATCAGTCCCTACTTCCCACAAAACCTTTGCTTACCTAGCATTTCCCAGAAGTTTGAGTTTTTGTTTGTTATAAATACAGTCTTAAAGTATTTGTTCAATTGTTCTGTCATCTCCTTATTCATCGTTTCAGGCTTTCAAAGGCCTACATCTGTTTTTGCTAACTTTTTTTTTGAAACTGTCATACAGAACACCTCCAGTTCACTATCAACTTCTGTATATTACTCTCTGTACACCTTCCTCTTCCTCACAATCCCTCCCCATCCCTGTCCCTTGTATTTCACTCTCTCTCCTCCTCCCCCTTTGTCTTTCCATTCTACCCTCCACGTTACTCTTCAATATAGCTCATTGCCACCCACCAAAACACTGATCCCTCACTTCATCGAACTCTACCCCTCCTGATCACTCTTCTCTCAAAATCAGCTCCCTCTTCACTCCTGTTCACTGTCCATTCCAGCTGAACTTCCCCAACATATCACTCTCCCTCAAGTTCATTCTCCTATCACCCTCTTCCTCACATCAATACTCACTCAACCCTTACCACCCTTGCACTCACTCTCCTGTCCTCCCAGATCCCACAGCAATGTCCATGCCCACTCATTCCCCCTCCTACTCACCATTTACTTCATCCCTCACATTGTCCAGCCCCCAATCTTCCCTCACACTTGATTCCTTCCAAATCATTGTTCAAGTACCTTCTCCATATCATTCTACCTCTCCTAAACACTTTGTTCACCCACACTCTTAAAATCTACTGCCCCAGCACTGATCCCCTGCCTTCACTCCTTGTTTCCTTTCCCCACCCCATTCTCCCTGCATGCCCCTTTCTCCAATTGTTCACTTTCCTATTCCAACCAACACTGTCCCCATCCTTTACCAATCCTCCATCGCACTACCTATCTCACCCTCATATACTCTCCCTCTCTCCTGCTACCTCACACCCCATCCACCTCTCTCTTCTCAAAGCTTTTTACTCCCTGTCTGAAACGACACTCGTTCAACCACCAAATTAACCCCCCCTCACTCACTCTCCAGCTAATCTTTCCATTCTGATTGCTATTCCCTGAAACTCATTCTCCACTCAACCCCTGCCTGTTACCTGCACATTCACCTCTGTGCTTCTGTCTTGCTCTCCACCACCCATTCTGCACCAACCACTTTCCACCCTTCCTTCTTGCTAAATGCAAGATGGCAGCAGTGTAGGGCTCCTGAAGTGGATCTTGTCCACTCGAACTGCTTTTCTATTCTTCTTTTTCTCTTTTCTTGTTTTTTTTTTCTATCTAATGCTTTCTGTACTTACATTCTGAGTGCAGATGGTGTCAGCAGCAGATCTTGAGTGCGGACCTTGAGCATTCATAAAACTGGAGCCATGAGGCAGCATCTGGGATTCAGTGTTGGCCCTTATGGCTGCAGCAGCTAGCAGCAATTGGCAACGAAGGATGGTGACAGTGACAGTCAGCGATGAGAGGGCAGCAGCAAAGGATTGCAGCAGCGGTGGTCGCCTGTGAGTGATGGTTGTCAGCAATGAGGCATCAGCTAGGCTTGGAGTGCCAGGTGAGTCTTAGCCCAGTGTGGGGGAGAGCCAGCCCTCTTGGGGAAGCCCAAGTTGAAGTATCTGCAGGCCCGTGGCTCAAGAAAGGACTGTAGTGTTTGATATTGCAACTTTCTTTTTCTACTTTTTATGCTAAGAAGACTGTGGTGCTAAACTTTTTTTAAAACTTCTTTCTTTCTTTCTCTATTTCTCCAATTAAGACTTTGTGCCTTAGATGGCCCCGTATGTGGCCACGCTATACACCTTTCACTGCACTCTTGTAACCCTGTACTTGAGCACACGTCACAATAAAACTTGAATCTAAATCTTCCTATTCTTTTTCCCCTCACAATCTGCTCTCCCAACCCCCTTCCACATTACGTTCCTCTCCTTCCCTTGCTCACAACTAATGCCTTCCACACCACCCTCCCCCGGCGATCCCCTCCATTTCCAACCCTGACCCAATGGCAACACTCTCCTATGCCTCTCTCCTCCTCCAGTCTCCTCCGCGACCGTACTATCACTCTCTCCCACTCTTTCCTCCTCAAAATTGTCCCCCCCCCCCCTCCCTGCCTGTCTCTCTCTCTCTCTCTAAATAGCTTGCTGTTAATTTAACTTTCCACCTCACACAGACGGTGTTATTTGATCTCTCTCCCAGCTCCAGCCTCTCTGACTCTGGATCCGAACACAGCGAATCCCCGGCTCATCCTGTCTGAGGACCGGACCCGTGTGAGACTCGGAGACACAGAACAGCCGCTCCCTGACTCCCTGGAGAGATTTGATCCCTGGCATCAGACGGATTCATTTCAGGGAGACATTTTTGGGATATGGGGTGGAGGAAGATGACCTGGTGGAGTCTGGGAATGGTCTAAGAATCTGTGAAGAGAAAAGAGAGCAGTTCCCGAACCCGGATCTGTTTACCGGAAGAGGTTACTTTGCCGCCACCTTTCCCCGAGTGTGAATCCCTGGAAGATCGGGGTTTTCGTGGACTATGAGGGTGGACAGGTGTCATTTTACAATGCAGACAACATGTCCAATCTCCACACTTTCAATGAGAGGATCTTTACCTTCTGCCATTTGGGATAAACTCCGCCCCGCTGACAATCTGCAGGGTTAAAGGACACTGACAGATCCATCCCATAATTTCATCCATTTCCCACCCCGCCTCCCTGCCTCCTGTTCGCTGTGAACTGATGGCGGTCAGTCTCAGTCACAGGTGGGGAGAGGGGCCCTGCTAACATTCAGGAAATGGGATTCTTCAACAAGCGTATAATCAGAGAACCAAAACGGAATGAAATCCAAGAATCTCATAAACCTAATACATTTTTCCTTTTACCCAATACTACTCAAAATTTGCATTTGTACGCCATGCATTACAAATTCAGGGCAGATTTTAATTTACAACCGACCTTGACATTATTTCAAAATCTACATGGAATAAGACAGCTACGAAGACTGATTTGACAATCTGTCTGGAGTGAATGTTATGCGCCAGCTGATCGGGAGCATATGCTGTTGACCGGTAATGTTTAAACAAATAAAACAGTTCGGTTATTATAGAACAGAATATTACCGGAGTCAAAGGCGTGGTTCATCTCTGTCTTATTGGTCTGTGTATTACTGTCCACATTAGTGAAATTGTCCTAAAATCATAATGTAATTATCTGTACCATTAAAATTACTATTAAAACACTCCACAAAACTTTTTTTTCTGTTTAGATTTATTATACCTCATCAGAAATTATTTGGATGTTGATGGCATTGTATGATCATTAATCAACCCTATTAACATGCTCTGTCACCGTCAAGCACCCGCAGATCCCTCTGTTCCTCTGAGCTTCCTAGAATCCTATCCTTCATCGAAAACAACCCTGTCATGTTACTTCTTCCAAAGTACATCACCTCACAATTGCATCTGCTACTGCACAATTGCACATCTGCAACTGATCTGTTCATCTAACCAAAAGTACTTGTTCCGGACAATAACTCTTGCTCGCAATAATAATATGCCATCCTCTGCGGGGATCTGGCCTCGCCCATTCTGGGTAGTGGCCTACCAGTTTGAATCAGGAAGTGTTGAGCTTTGACATGGCTTCCAAACAGCAGCTCCAGAGACTGACTGAGGAGACAACGTGTTCCATTTGTCTGGATTTCTTCACCAATCCGGTAGTACTGGAGTGTGGACACAACTTCTGCCGCTCCTGTATCACCCAGGTTTGGGAAAAGAAGGAGATAAACTCCTGCCCGGAATGTAGAGAGGTGTTTCCGGAAAGAAACCTCAGGGTAAATCGGGCCTAAGCGAATCTCGCCGAGGAGGCTCGAAAATTTAAGCAGGATCCGAAAGAGAAGGAAAGTAAACTTCACTGTGAGGAACATCAGGAAGATCTGAAACTGTTTTGTGAGACTGATAAGAAATTGATCTGTGTGAATTGTGTCACTGCTCCGGAACACAGAGACCACCGCTTCATCCCGACTGAAAAAGCTATTAATATCTACAAGGTAAAAGGGAAATATTCTACATGGTGAGAGTTTTATCACATTTCCACGGTTGAACACTTTAGTTATGAAATTTTCTCTTTCAATTTCAGGATAAGATAAAATCTTCCTTAGATTATCTCACAGAGAAAAAATCGAAGGTTCACGAAATGGAGTTGAACCAGAAACAGAAGATTTCCGAAGTGAGGGTGAGATCTCCCTGTGCTGATTTTCTGGGATCTCGTTAGTTTTGTTCCCTTTATCGCGGGACATTAATGAGGTTTCATATTTCATTTGGTAGGAACAGGCGAGCAGACTGCAGACCTACATCACATCCGAGTTCACTAAAATGCACCAGATTCTCTCTGAGAAAGAGCAGCGTTTACTCAGGGATCTCAGGAAAGAAGAGGAGAGGATTCTAGATCCAATGGAGGAAAATCTTCGAAAGATTCAAGAGAATTTAAATTCTATTGAGGAGAAGCTCTCAAAGTTGCAGAAACAGATGGAGCAAAAAGACAAGCTGTTTCTGAAGGTGAGGGAATATATTGCGGTCAGTTCAGTGAAACGTCACATGTTTACAAAACAACTGCTGATGACTCTTAAATTAACATAACTGACAAAACCGAAAATGTAAATTCGACTGAAATTGTGATTGTTAGACGGTTTTGCTCCATCACTGAACTAATCGCCTGCACACTGCAGAATCTCGGAAATACCGGCAACTTCCGAGCATGAATTCTAATCTTGATAGTTGTTTTATTATTTTACCATGTTCCTCAAGTTTAATTCTCTGCTGGAACTCCCATTGTAATCCAGATCCATGTGGGGAGTGTGTGGGTGTACCTGGCACAGTGAGTGTGTGAGAATCAGTGTGTCTGTGAGCGGGGCTGATGTTTGGTTTCGGTTAATTTTACCCCTCTCTTCAATGTCTCTTTCAAAATGCTTCACTTTTCACTTCCATGTTGTGTCTGCTCATTTCAGCAGCCTGTCTGTCTCTTCCTGAAATCTGTTACTGTCATCCTCACTATTTATGATTCATTTCTTTCAGGAGGCAGCTTGTCGGAAGAGAAGGTAGGACATGCTCTTTATTGGATTTCATTTTTGATTTATTTATTGATTTATTATTGTCAAATGTACCGAGATTCTGTGAAAACTTTTTGTGCAGTACAGCGAATCGCACCACACAAAGCGTACCAGTGTAATAGAACATAGTACAGGATATAGTATTTCAGTTACAGAGAAGGTGCAGAGAGGGAGATCAATATTAACATTTGAGAGTTCCATTCAAAAGTCTGATAACAGCCATGAAGAAGCTGTTTGTAAGTGTGTTCAAACTTTTATATCTTGTGCCTAATGGAAGAGGGTGGAAGGGGTCTTTGATTATGTTGAATAAAAACTGAAAGAACTGTGGATGCTGTAAATCAGGAGCAAAAACAAAGTTGCTGGAAAAGCTCAGCAGGTCTGGCAGCATCTGTGAAGGAAAAAACAGAATTAATGTTTTGGGTCCAGTGACCCTACCTCCAGTTCTGAGGAAGGGTCATCGGACCCGAAACATTAACTCTGTTTTTTCCTTCACAGATGCTGCCAGACCTGCTGAGCTTTTCCAGCAACTTTGTTTTTGCTTTGATTATGTTGGTTGCTTTCCCAAGGCAGCACAGTTTGCACAATAACTCAGTGACTTCCTTTTAGCGGACAGTGAGGAAGGTTATCTAAGATTACAAAGAGATCTTGGTCAATTGGGTCAATGGGCTGAGGAGTGGTAGATGGAGTTTAATTTGGATAAAGTTGAGGTATTGCATTTTTGGTAATACAAAAAAGGGCAGGCCTTATACAATTAATGACTGGCTCCCCAGGTGATGTTGTCAAACAGAGACCTAGTGGTTCGGGTACATAATTCTATGAAATTTGTGTCATGGGTAAACAGGGTGGTTAAGAAGGATTTGGCACACTTGGCTTAATTACTCGGGTCTTTGAGTACAGGAACCAAAAGAACTGTGGATGCTGTAAATCAGAAACAAAAACACAAGTTGTTGGAAAAGCTCAGCAGGTCTGGCAGCAGCTGTGAAGAGAAATCAGAGTTAACATTTTGGGTGCAGTGATGCTTCCTCAGAACTGATGGTAGCTAGGAAAATGTCAGTTTATATGCAGAAGAAAGGCTGGGGGAGAGATGATAAGGAATAAATGATAGGTGAGGATAGAGCCCAAATAAAGAGATGAACAGTTGGACACACAAAGGAGTGGATAACGATCTGGCTAGGAGAGTGAATAGCTGTTAATGGAGACAGTTAGTGGCTAACAGTATGTTAGTATAGGAGTTGGAACATTATATTGAGGTTGGACAGGATGTTGGTGAGGCCTCTTCTGGAGTACTATGTCCAGTTCTGGTCACCCTGTTATAGGAAGGATATTACTAAACTGGAGAGGGTTCAGAAAGGATTTAGCATATGTTGCTGGGAATTGAGGGTTTGATTTATAAATATAGACTGGATTGACTGGGACTTTTTTCACTGGAACATAGGCATTTGAGGGGTGACCTTTTAAAGGTTTATAAAATCATGAGGGACATAGATAAGGAGAATGACAAGGGTCTTTTCTCTAGGGTTGGGGATTTCAAACTAATGGGCATATTTTAAAGGTGAGAGGAGAAAGATTTAGAAATGATATGAGGTGCAACTTTTTTATGCAGAGAGTGGTTCGTGTGTGGAATGACTTCCAGAAGAAGTGATGAATGTGAGTATAGTTACAATGTTTAAAAGACATTTAGATAAGTGCATGAATAGTTTTGGAGGGATATGGACCAATTGCAGGCAGGTGGAACTAGTTTAGTTTGGAACATGGTCAGGATGGATCAGTTGGAACGAAGAGTCTGTTGCCATGCTGTATGACCGTATCACTTTAAAGTTTTTACAGTGACAATAATTCAGTTTATGGTTCAAACCCAAGTTTTTTGTTTCATACTTTACCGCAGTGTTGAAACAGTACCAGTTTTTTTTTTAATAACAAACAAAGTAGAAACAGATTTAGGGAGGGAATGCCAGAGCTGAGGGCTGAAGGTTCAGTCTGTAATG